TGTTTGGTTTAAGTTATGTGGGATTCCCATGGGAATGGAATCCACATTCTCATATTTGGTTGGTCGGGAATCTCATTCCCGGTAATGTTTTATTATCAATAGTTGATTTTTTTTTTGTATATTATCGGGAATGTCATTACCTCCGTTTCCTTAGGTATTGTTGGATTACCGACTTTTTGGACTAAAATGCCCTTAAATTTTTTTTCTTTTTAAAAATATCATTCTTCTGTCGTTGAATAATAAAAATTATACGAATGTTAAATTACAAATTTATCCTTAAACTATTTTAGATTTACAAAAAAAATCTATAATTAAAATTTTATATGAAGCTCAAGGGTTAAAATAAAATTTTACCCTTTCAATAAACCTTTTTATATTTTCAATTTTGTAAAAAATTATATAAATTTTATGAATTTAAATTTTTTAAAGAAAATATATAATATTTTCCATCTTGTTAAAAAACAAATATATAATAAGGACAATTTGGTCAAATATACATTTCAATAATCTTTTATTCATTTAACCAAACACGGTAATCTTACATTCCTGCTAAACCAACCAAACACAAAATACAAAAAAATGGTTGTCCCTTTTTCCCATATATATGGGGTAAGGGGGAGGTAAGATAGTAGGCTACCCCCAACACCAGGTTGAGAGCAGCTTCCGTAAGAGACCTCCGAATTATGAAATGCCCTCCGTGGGACTCGATCCCACGACCTCAAGGTTAAGAACCTTGTGCTCTACCAACTGAGCTGGATCTCAGTAATCATATTCCCTGGTAATCTTTTATTCCCACTGGTAATCTTACATTCCGTGAACCAAACGCACCATTAGTATTTAGAATTTTTCAATGTTTTAAGTTGTGTTAATGTTTTAGTTCTATAATAAAGAACACTTCATAAACATTAAGTTATTCAATTACATCAATCTTGTACAACTAAAACAAGCTTAAGGTTAACAAATACATAAAAAAGTACACCACGAAAAACAACTAAAATAATATTGTAAACTACATCAACCTGAACACTTTGTAAGATCAACAACTCTAATCCTTGAATTATTCATAGAAACAATACATCAAAAAGCATAAACAACAATATCAGAAATTTGTACATACAAGCTTCACATTTGGCCTTTCTCAACTTCTCCTCCACCTCCAACAGTTTTGAATCATTACTCACATAACAAAATCATTTTCATTTCAGCAACACTTGAGCAACTTTTAGTTCTCGATTCTCCCTTAACAACATGTTATTTTTTATTATAATTTTGAGAAAAATGTCCTTTACGTATTTGTCTCTGACATTTTCATTAGCCCAACGGAATAATTTACATCCATCCTCCAACATCACATTTCATAAATCCAGTTCAAAATAATAAATAAAATTTCATTACCATTACCACAAATATTATAGCAATGTCATATTTCATCAATCCATGAAGAAGAATTAACCTCAAACTAACTTGGGAAACTAAAGTATCGTTAGCATTTGGTTAATTCTTTTCTGGAAGTATAAATTTCAGATTTCTTCCCACAATTGCAGAAAATTTCTCGACAGTTTCTTTCCATTAATTTTGAGGAATATGATGACATCCTTTAAAGCAATTGAATGAAAAACAAATTCATATTGAATAAGCAAGTCAGAATTCGTATAATCCAAATGAAATAAAAAAAAGAACCCTAGAAACAAATTCATGAAAATACCCAAATGAACTCGAAAAGAACCCTAAAATCATTTAATATCAATACAAAATTGTAAAAAAACTCAAACAAAAACCCAAATGAAATCGAAAATAACACTTGTTTACTTGAAATTTCAGAACACAAGCCTTGATTGATTTCAAATAAAATCCCTCATTTTTCTGAAGAAAGCCTTGATATAAATTGCTCGTTGCAAATAAGGGAAAATAAGACCGTTTGAAATTCACGTGAAAAATAAGGGGGCAAATGGATTTTATTTTTTTAAAAAATAAAAAATAATATTTTTTAAAGTGTCACATGTCATTTTATTAGTGGTCACAGGGTTTCGTGTCAACTTCCGTGATGAAAGTGGATGAACATGTTAACGGCAGAAAGCGCCATGTATGAAATTGAGAAATTTTAAACATTATGTATGAAATTGAAAATTTAGTATGCTTCATGTATGAGTGAGTTAATTAACCCAATTATTTTCATCACCCCAACCCCCAACGCCAGCACCCATTATTTTTTAAAATATATTTTCACTTATTTTACCTAATTCTTTTGAAAATGCATATAATTTTCATGGCTTTCTTGTCAACAAAGCATCCTTCAAATTTTTTAATATATTTTCTCAAAGCATCTCTTTATCTTTAACTTTATTATTATATTAAATGAAGGAAATCACTGTATTTGCTTTCCATTTTTTTAACCCTAAAAAAGAAAACACTCTCAAGGCTTCCTTCAATTCATCCTGTTCAAAGCTTTGTTTCCAGACATTCAAATTCAAAGATTTTGAGGTAATGAATATAAAATAATTTCATTATTTTATTAAAAACAATACACAGTTTCTCATTAAAGAAATCTCATTCAGTCTAGGTTTATATTATATATATATGCATTCATCAAGCTTGGGTTTTTCTCTCTCTCTTTCATCTGGGTGTGAAGACACACTAATTAGTTGATCTATTTTTAAAATTTTATGGTAATTTCCAAAACATATTTTGACGTTTTTAGTGTGTTTTTTCTGTTTCCTAATTTGTTCATCACCCGGGTTTCTGTTGAGTTATAGAAGAACCTAAATTAAAGCTAGGTTAATTTGCAGACAGTATAAAGAAGAAGAATAGACGTTTAATCAGTAAAAAGTACAAAGTAAAGTACACAAATTATTTCCAGGTTATGCTTTGGAGATAATTTGTGCTCGACAGAGTCAATTTTCATTATGATAAAAACCTATCTTTCACCACGTACAGCTGGTGGTATATTTTCATTGATTTTTTTTTTTCATTTTTTTGTTTTATGAATTATTTTGTTAAATTTTCGTTTTAATAAGAGGTCAGATCGAAGTTAGATATTGGAGCTTGTGAGCAAGTGGATTTTTTTAGCAATGTCCGGGTTGGATTCAAGTTCGGGTTCTCGCTATATCCATCAGCTACTCCCACCAGACAAAGAAGCAACCTATCACGGTGGCGCGACAACCGATTCAGGCGGAGGAGGCACCACTCCAGGAGGAAGAAGGCCACGAGGTCGTCCAGCAGGCTCCAAGAATAAACCTAAACCACCGATAATCGTCACACGCGACAGTCCAAACTCACTAAAATCCCATGTGCTCGAAATATCTTCCGGTTCAGACATAGTCGACTCGGTAGCAACCTACGCGAGGAGGCGAGGCCGGGGTGTTTGTGTGCTCAGCGGAACCGGCGCCGTCACGAATGTTATACTCCGGCAACCGGCTGCTCCATCCGGGAGTGTCATAACACTGCACGGGCGGTTTGAGATTTTATCTCTAACCGGGACCTCCCTTCCACCAACGGCCCTTCCAGGGGCCGGTGGCTTGACGATTTATCTCGCCGGTGGTCAGGGTCAAGTTGTTGGAGGGAGCGTGGCGGGTCCGTTAATGGCTTCGGGTCCGGTTGTATTAATGGCTGCATCATTTGACAATGCAGTTTATGATAGGTTACCCCTTGATCAAGAGGAAGAGCCAGCAGTTCAGCTGCAACCGGCAGCTTCACATTCATCTGGAGTCACTGGTAGTGATGGTGGAGGGCAGCTGGCTGATGGAGGCAGTGGCACAACCACCAAAAGCGGCGGTGGAGGTGGTGGTGTTCCTTTCTATAATTTGGGAAGTTATCCCTTTCCGGGTGATGTATTTGGCTGGAGTGGCACCGCAACGAGGCCTACCTTTTGGTGATCAAATAATGAAGAAATTATTGCAGAATTTAATGGTTCCATTGTCAATGAAAATTGTATCCAATGCAGAAAGCAAATGAATCCGAGTTCTTCAAGGAAATGATGATTCAGATCAGTAAGTTTGAGTTCTTGTACAAAACAAACATGTTTCTTCTTTTTTTTTTCTTTTCATTTTCTGGGAATATTTTCTCTCCTTCCAAACATGGTTAATTTCTATAAACAGTAGATATTTTATGAAAGAAACTAAATCTAATATATATTTATCTATGAATGCATGTGTGACATGATTTGAATAAAATATATATACGTTAACAAATGTTATACCCTAAAACAAACACCACTTATTATGAAAAACTATAATTTCATTGGTTACACATATCTATTTATATTATGAGTGGTAGTAGTGTCACGAACCGAAAGACCTTAATAGTAAAAAATTATTATTATTTCTTAAGGTTCCATATTCAAGTACCATTGTAAGTGTTTAATATTAAATGATGTTACAGTAATAGATCACTGCATGAAAAAACCCTAATTCAAAAAGTAGAAGAGAATGAGAATGATAGGAGTGGTTTTTTATTTGATTAACCCTGAATGAGAATGAGTATTTTAAAAGTTATTTCACTATTTTAAAATATAAAATATTTATTTTTGTATCATAAAACAATTAAATCTAAATCTATATTAAATAAAAAAATTCACATTCAAATCAATTAAAAGAATTATAATATTTTCTTTTTGGTTTACAAGGGGAGCTAGGAGCCTACATCATTTCTAGTTATCTTAATAATATTATTTTTAATATTAAAATTCTCTCATTAAAATTTATGAATCATAATTAGTCCAATCACTACAGCATAAATAGGCTGTGATGCGTCTTTGAAACTTTAGCTTCTTTTGTTTCCTTTTGGTATATAATATGTTCCTATTAATGGACTTTGTCTTTATATCTTCAATGTTTTGATTATTCATTTATTTTATTACAATTTTTCATAGGTTTGTAATTAGTTATCTTAATAATATTAGTTTTAATATTAATATTCTCTCATTAAAAAAATTATCTTATAATTATATTCAACATTTATTCACAAAAAGCTAAAGTACTTATTTTGCATTGGTATTGTCCTGAACTAATAATATACCGAAAAGCAAAAAAAAAAAAAAAAAAAAACTACACTTTATACATCCGACGGCTCGAACGGGGCGCGGACAAACGGCTGACCGAGCAGGTTAAAGAATGACGATGTCTTATTGGGATCAATTCTGGAAGGCAAGCAGACAACCTGGACAAACACAAGCACGCGCCAGTAATAAAAAAGAAGATATAGATCCCAGAAATGGTTCATATAGTTTGATAAGAAATCCGATCGGAAGGGAAACGATACTTAAACGAGAGGTTTATCGCACTACCGATACAAGTAGATGATTACAATGGCTATCAGACATGATTACCATTACCTTTTTAAAGGGTGCGACACCCCGCGGATTATTCGATTGCTTTGGTTCACCGGATATAACCAAGCGTCCTGCCGGATCAGACTCAACATACACCTGATTCATTTTAAGCACATATGGTAATTCATCAACCACAATCTACAGGAAGAAGTTATAAGACGGATTCAACAACATTGATGCAAATTCGAGAAAAGATTACCGGTAAACATGAAACAAGGTAAATCATGAAGAGATATACCGACCTCTTCATGCAGAAGCCCGGGAACCAAAATGTACACCTCATAGCTCTTGGCCTGGGAAAGAGAGAAAAGAGGGAGATTCATAGCTAATAGCAATGTAGCATTGTCCTAATTATATCACGAAAGAAAGACTTACGGATTTTTGCACGTTGACCTTAACCCAATCAGCCGGGGCTACACATCGACAACCATAGAATCCGACCTGGCAAAAGAAGGCCTAGTTTCAGCACCTTCAGAAGTCGAGATATTGTTTCATACATCATACAAAATGGAAAATTTAGAAAAAAAATAACCGGCAAATCATAACTGTAGTTTCTTTGGTTTGTGTGAAGCAACTCGGACAGCATGCTCAGTAGCTGACGGCTTTTTACACTTTAACGAACCTTGTGCAATAAACTAAGTCTCGAACATAAAGACAACTTCAGGAATTGTTGTTGCAGAATGTACCTGGCCAGCGAATTGGACTACTAGAAAATTTATATGAAAGAAGATGTAGTACATACAAAAATGTGGCTTCGACGAGCAGCATTCATGTTGACAAGTAATAACGAAACAAATATGCTATGCAAAGCATATCGGAAAGCATTATAATCTTAACGGACTAACAACCGTGATAGGCTCGATGAGGGAAGGAACAAACTGAGGGGGTACAGCACCATGCATTTTATGCTTTTCATACTCGAACAATGCCTGCGTAAATCGATGGAAACAGATTACAGGAGAACCATATGCCACAATAGCAAATAAATAAAATAAATGTTAAGAGATGGGGAATGAGGCCATAGTCTGCAAAGTATGTCTGTGTTACCATAATCAACGGAAATCGGCAATTAGAGCCAAACCTTCCCATAAAAGATACGAAATGTCCAAGACACTGTAGTACAGGTCCTATGCACAACAAATAAACAAGTAAATAAACCATATAGCTCCGCTAAAGCAAAAACAATTAGCCATAATCGTGGTACAAGGACAGAAACAAATTCTATTCATAAAAACAAGAATCAAGGTTAGCAGATATGAAATTTTCGACCTCCCACACGATATAAAATGTCCTACGAAACCACCAACAATTGAACAAGTAGTTTTAATAGGAGAAAATTGCAGACTTTCAGTATTCAAATCATTGGAGAACAAGTAGTTATTCTTACTTTCGGGGATTAAACGATTCTCTAACCTGCCTCTGCCTCCACAATTTGCATGAGGTCACCTACAAAGTCCGCGGCACGATCAGGAAAGGAAGTCCATAACTACTTCATGTTCTTAACTATATAAGAAGCAAGTGAATTATTATCTTGGTCACTCTAACTAGACAATAAAACCGAATTAACTGTCTTTTTCGTATCAGGTAAGAATCACCTAAGAAGTAAGAACTAACTAGAAACAATTCAATGTGAAAGACAACAATGAGTTTGTGCATGCAGATGCTGTACACACAGGCATCTCCTCGAAATTCAGGATCAGGAAAGCAACATATTATCAAAGAACTTAAAATGATTGATATGCCATTCGATTTTAGTTTTACATTTTCTATTAAACTAGTCGCCTTTTGATAATGCACAAGCAGAAGCAAACCTGTTCATACCCTCCCAATTTGATGACAGCCCTCCACAGCCTTTAGTCAAATGAAGGGAAGAACAATTAAGATAAAGACTACATTTTTATCCAAAAAAAAAAAGAATATGGTGAGCATACAAACTCGAAAAGGGCTTACTTGAGCAAATTCAAATCCTCTTTGTAAAACATTGGGGGTTCGTTCTCCCGTCAATTTGGTCGGAAGCAGCTCGTTGTTCGACAGAATCCGGGTTGTCACCGAGTGGCTGAGCCGTCAATTGCCCATCTTCTTCAACTTGAGCATAGTCTTCCACTTCAGCAACTTCTGTTTCAGTCTCTCGGCAAGCCTGGATTTTTGGGGTTTTTTTTTTAATTTTTTTTTTGGGTATTTCGAACATGGAAAAACGGAGACGAAGCTCTTTATGGGCTTAATGGCTTAGTGTATTGGTTAGCCTTTGTCCATTGGAGTAGGATGATATTTAAAAAAAATAAGATAAATAATTGATAGGTTTTCATATTTTTATTTTTGTTCTTTTAATTTGTTTATAATTTTTCTTTGTTTTAAAGTTAAATTATCATCTTATTCAAATTTAAAATTAAATTATCATTTACATCATATTATCACATAATAATACATCAATGTTTACATGGTAGTTAACAATTTTGTTAAATAAAATTACATCTAAAAAAGAAAAGTTAAATTGAATGTTTAAAAGTTTAAGGACTAATTTAGAATGAAAGTTATAATTTAAGGATAAAATTAAAATAATTAAAAATTTAAGGATTAATTTAAAATAATTCATAATTTAGGGAATATGATGCAACTAACTCTGATTTTTTTTTTTTAAAAAAAAATCCTATTTGAATCAAGTAATTTAGGTATCAAACTGAATATTTAAGTGGAGTTCGTCTACTAAATATATATATTTAACCTTTCTTAATGACGGAATAAAATTGTTTAAATATAAATACAAAATCGCAGCGCAGCAGCACCTGGAATTCGAATCGGTGATACCGGCATTTGAGCTTCCGGAGAATCCAGATTTGCATTTTTTTACTTTTCTTCTGGCTATTATCAAAGATGGTAACTAACTAGCTTTTCGTATTTTAGTCTTGTTATCATGATAATCCGGCGAATTGGTTATGATCTGTTTTCGATCCATTTTTAATTCAAAACATGGATCTGTGTTTTTCCTGATTTTAGACACTGTTTAGGCTTTTGATTCTGTGAATCATGAATTTTATTACTATTTTATGATCTTGATATTTCTCCTCATGCCCTTGTTGATTGAATTTAAGCTTTGTGCCTTCTCGTTTCTCTTCGGACCTGCAACTAGATTCTGCCGAGATTTTGTTTTTGTTTTTTGTTTCTTTTAATATCATTAGTTCACTGTAAATGTTTCATTTTGATAGTTATAGTTTACTGTAAATGATTCATTTTGATGGTTCCTCTGATGTATTGTTAGATCCAACTTATTTTTTTATTTTCTTCTGATTTTTTATCATATTCCATCATACTTAAACATTTCTATTTAATGTTTGTTTTGCATTTTGGAATATTTGAGTTTGACTACATAATTCTGGTGATTTTTATAATTTTCTGTTTAATAAAGCCTTATTGTCCTTTTCAAAATAAATAAATAAATAAATAAAGCCTTATTGTTTTAATGGTTTCACTTTCTTAGTGTGTCATTGATCATATTGTTTCTCCCTGGGTGGAAATTTTAAGGTTATTGTTGATATGGAGGAAATGCCATTCTTTATGCTTTAGCTGTTGAATTTTTTTTCCATGAAGAAGCATGCTAACAGGATGGCAAAAATGAAATGTTACTAGTTGTGTGCTATAACTAGAAACTCACATAGATAACATTAGGTGCTTGAAGTTTTGGCTTCTTGAGGATCGACTTTGCCTGTCAGGATCTAATGCTAATTTATATTACACTTTATATAAAGTGACTCTTGGCCCTCATATTTGGAGCAAAGAAAAGAATTTGTGTTAATTTTTGGATCTGATAATCACAGTGATATACACACACACACACATATTTTGTTCTAACTTTACACTGTTATAATTGCTTGATTTCACTTTAGAAGCCTAAAAGCGAGCTTCTTTTTAAAGGTTGTTGACTTGTTTTATTGCTGGTATCTGTAACATATGAGCCTCTTTTGTGATTCAGATTCACTTTGTACTTTTAATTAGCTGGCAAGGGAAAGTTAGGTTGACAAAATGGTATTCTCATTATTCTCAGAAGGAAGGAACAGAGGTATGACCTGACTATCACATTTGATTCTCTGAAGGAAAAAGTCTTTATAATTATAAGATTCTGGTTCATTTTTCCTTATCTTTAGTTCTTTATTGGTGCTCTTTTTGAAGTCGGTCTTGCCTTCATTATATTAAGGCTTTATGGAATGTGTTTTGAGAAGGTTATCCGTGAGCTTGGTGGAGTAATTCTCACAAGAGGGGCCAAACTCTGTAATTTTGTGGATTAGAGAGGATTTAAAGTTGTTTACAAAAGGTAATACTTCCATATGTTAGTGAGACCTTTTTTATTAGGAATCTATTTTACCATGTCAGAGATTTATCAACTCTGTTGGGATAAATTATGCAGATACGCTAGTCTTTACTTCGGCATGTGCAATGACCAGGATGACAATGAGTTAGAGGTTCTAGAGATCATTCATCACTTTGTGAGATACTTGATCGATACTTTGGCAGTGTGAGTAAACTCAAACTTTTCTCTTCATTGAATTAATTGACTTTCTATTGTGTTTATCGGATTGTGAATGAATTTATATCCAGGTCTGTGAATTGGACTTGATCTTCAACTTCCGTAAGGTACAACTGTTATGCTTGTCACATGTTGTTTGGGTCCTGTTTCCTCTTCTTTTCAGAGCACTTTACATCTAAATCCTTATGTTTTATGTAAATTGTGCTCTCATTCATTTAATCATTAGCCGCAGTTATCCTTCAACTCTATAACCAATCCATTCTTCTCATCCTCTAACATACCACCTCCTTTTGTATTTATTTGAATTATAAACTTTAAACCTCCATACTTCCATACCAGTGTGTCTCTTGATTTTGTCCAGTCTCAACTCGAGTATCCTTAAGAAGCACTTAGCATTCATCGTTTGAAATGAAGCCAGTCAATTGAGAGACGCGTTTTCTTCCTGTATGAAACATAATTGTTTTTCTACTTTCCGAATAAATCCCCAAACAATGTTAAATCTTGTGGTGGCATGTTAACGATGTTGTTGAGGAAAGGAATTCTATAGTTGAGAATTGATGAAAATCAAATCTCTTGGAAAAGCTTTTCTTCCCCCAAAATTTTAGGACTTCTCAAATTATGAATCTATCTTCATGATTCAAAGGACTAGCATTGTTTTTAAGAAAAATAAAATTAAAATTTTGGACTCTCGTTCTTAAATTTCTAGATCCGCCACTGATTGTTGTCAAGAATTATAGATCATTCATGTTAAAATAGGGTCTTTACTTAACTCTTTGCTGCTATTTGACATTGAAGGCCTGCTATTTATTGAATGAACTCTTGCTGGCTGGTGAACTCCAAGAAAACTGTTGCACGTTTAATAGCTGCACAGGTAGAATTTTTACCTTCATTTGGCTATTCCTTATGTAGGCTATTCCCCTTTTATAGAATTCATTAAATATTATGTAAACAATGGGTTTTAAACAGCCTTTGACGGAAAGTTGAGGAAACAATTGTTTTTTCCTCTTTACAATGGGCTTAAACAACATTTGACGGAAAGCTGAGGAAACAATGGGTTAATTTATTATAAAAGATAATACTGAATTTTAATTCAGTATTTTGTATTGTTGCAAAATTATTAATGTTTTTACGTTTAAATTATATTGTACCTGTATTGTTTGAGTCATGATTAAAATTCTAAGATTTAAAAAATATAATAAATAAAATTGATCGAATTAAAATATGTGAATCAAATTCATACATTACGAATTTAAATAGTCTGAGATGATTAGAATGTAGTATTTGTTCAAAATATTTCTTATTTACTGACAACGTGAACATGTCCTATATATGCAGTTGTCCGAATCTAAAACTTCTATGAACGACAACATTTCTTTGAATCACTGAAATCACTTGACAGGTTTACACATTCATATTAGACTTTCACGAAGTATATATAAGATATTAAATTTAATAAAAAAATTAATTATTTTTTATTTTCTTAACTTATTGTATCATTAAGTCAACCGAAATCAAAGTTAAATAAACACTTTAAAAATATTAAATTTTTTCATATTAACGATATGAATAATTTTATATGTATATTTTATCATATAACTATGAACGTAATGATTAAAATTATATATATATATATAAAAGTTGCATGACCAAAATTTTGTTTAATACAAATTATAATTTTAAATTATTATATCTCTTAGTCATAAATGCACGAATTAATTTACTTCACTAGTTAAAAAAATCGTTGTTGTTACTAGAGATTACAAGTTTGAGCATAACTGTAAAGATGATTGAACGTATAATTAAGAGTATTTAGAACAAATTCTACTTTATAATTTTCTCAATTTAATAATAATAAAAAACTCTTATCCATAAATCAAAGATAATTACGTTTAAATTTCCACAAATCGACAAACTCTTAAATATTGTATGGACAATAACATCAATTTGACATTCGACGAAGGTAATGATATCATTCAAACTAAAACTTAATCAACAATTACATAATCGAACCTTAGCTAAAAAATTTAGTTGTAATTTTTATTTAAAGAGTATATTCATATATGTATCTATTACTTAAATTTTACATCATAATACTTTATATTTTCATTCCTAACGCATATAACTTTCTACAAATTTTGGATTAAAATATCTCGCAATTACATTAAGGGTAAATTATACGAATAGTCCCTTTTATTTCGATATGATCGACTTTAATTACCAATTAAAAAATTAAGTACGTTTAGTCCCTCACATCTCCTCCTCCTCCTCCTCTTTCTTCTTCTTTTTATTTATTAATTGTCAACTCAAATTTCCGGAGTTAATGAGAATTAACAGTTGAATGACTAAAATTGAACGGATCCACAACATAAGAGATCAAGTGCGCTTAATTTTTAAATCGGTGATTAAAGTCGGTTAGATCAAAAACAAAAAGGGCTATTGGCATAATTTACCCTTACATTAAAACCCTTTTCGAACCGGTTTAGTTTGTTTGGACCGTTCCGCATGAAAAAAAAAATAAAGAAATAAAAACTCCATAAAAACCGCTCGTGGCTCTTTTACTTGAGAAACCGTTTCTTGCATTTGTCAAATTTCTCAATACTTCTGCACATTGATTCCCTCATCATATTTACTTCCTTTTATAAAACCATTGAACGCTGTTCTTGAAGCAACGAAGGTGAAACAAAAACACCCTTTGATCTCTCTTCTGTAGGTAAAAAACAACATTGTTTCAGTTCTGGGTTTTGTTTAAAAATGGTTGATATCATTGGTTCCAAGTTATATCTTCAAAGTCTGTCAATCTCTTCTTTTTTATTTTCCCTTTGAACCCTTGTTGATTTCCCAGTTTTTCTCCCTTCGTCGATGTGTTTTGTTTGTTTGTTTGAAACTTGGGATGACTTTGTTTTTTTGTTTTTGTTTTTTTTTTGCCTTTGTTCAATTTGTAAATGTGCTTGTTTTGCTCGATCAATGTAGTAATAAAAATTCTGGCTTTATTATGGGTTCGTATCTGATTCGATTATGGTTACTAAGACAATTTTGCTTTTGTGATCTTGTTCTTCGTCCTTAATTTTGTTCGATGTTTGTTGTTGAAAATCTTGTAAATTAGTTTCTTTTTTTTCCTCGGTAAATATGTTGTTAGGGTTCTTATTCTGTGACCTTCACATGTTTTTATGCTTGAATGGAAGAGAATGAGTGTACTTCTTCTTCAATTCTTTGTATTTGAGATGTTAATTGAGTCTAGTTTGTTGCTTTTATCAGTGAATCTAATTCAAAAAAATTTTTTATGAGAGCAGGCGAAAAGTTAAGAGAGGAGACTTAGATTCGAAGCTTTGATGGAAACAGGAGGGAATTCGCTACCTTCTGGAGCCGACGGCGTGAAGAGGAAGGTGTGCTATTTCTATGACCCGGAGGTGGGGAACTATTACTATGGCCAAGGTCACCCTATGAAGCCTCACAGAATTCGAATGACTCATGCCCTTCTAGCACACTATGGTCTACTTCAGCACATGCAAGTTCACAAGCCCTTCCCTGCCAGGGATCGGGATCTTTGCCGCTTCCATGCCGATGACTATGTGAACTTTCTCCGCAGCGTGACCCCTGAAACGCAGCAAGATCAGCTCCGACAGCTCAAACGCTTTAATGTGGGAGAGGATTGTCCCGTCTTTGATGGCCTTTACTCCTTCTGTCAAACATCTGCAGGTGGATCTGTTGGTAGTGCTGTCAAATTAAACCATGGTCTATGTGACATTGCCATTAATTGGGCTGGTGGTCTGCATCATGCAAAGAAGTGTGAGGCTTCGGGGTTTTGCTATGTCAATGATATTGTCCTTGGAATTCTGGAACTTCTTAAGCAGCACCAGGTATATGTTCGAAACCTAATTTCCCCATTATCTTTCTTATTTGGCTTTACTTAACCAAGTTTGACACGTCTTATTTGTTGTTTGTGCATGATCGAAATCTTCGTAACAAAAACAATATCTATTGTTTCCTTCTTGTACGGATCTTATCTTGTCCGATTTGATACGTGTTGGCTTTTTTGTAATTTGTCTTGCAATATCGTATTAACTGCAATTTAGATGTACCGTTAGCGACTGACAGCCGTTAAAAATGGTTGCTATAGTAGGCATGAAATAATAAATGTCAAGGTTTATTCTGCATTGATATAACACTTTTCCTTTATCTTTCTTGAAGCGTGTTCTATATGTTGATATTGATATCCACCATGGAGATGGTGTGGAGGAGGCATTTTATACTACCGACAGGGTCATGACTGTTTCATTTCATAAATTTGGAGATTATTTTCCTGGTACGGGGGATATACGTGATATTGGATATTCAAAAGGGAAATACTATGCCCTCAATGTTCCTTTGGATGATGGGATCGATGATGAGAGTTATCATTACTTGTTTAAGCCAATTATCGGTAAAGTTATGGAAGTTTTTAATCCTGGTGCTGTGGTGCTTCAATGTGGTGCTGACTCCCTATCTGGAGATCGGTTGGGGTGTTTCAATCTTTCAGTCAAGGGCCATGGAGAGTGTGTTAGATTTCTGAGATCATTCAATGTGCCATTGTTGCTTGTAGGTGGTGGTGGCTATACCATTCGGAATGTTGCTCGCTGTTGGTGCTATGAGGTAGCTGACCTAACTCTTTTTCGATTGAATAATGTATACTGATTGGTTTAAGTGATTGGCCCTGGCCCTCACTCTTTTCCCTTTTTGTATTATTTAAGTTGGAATATGTCTTGCTTAATTGTTTTTATTCATCTGTATCCCTATATATATATATATATATATATATGAAAACTTTACGGTTTTTGTAAATTTCATTGGAAGACATAAGATGTTGGCACTCGATTTATTGAATACTATTTGTAATTTGCTTGTGCTGAGCTACTTTGTTAATGTGAGCAGACTGGAGTTGCACTTGGAATGGAAATTGAAAACCAGATGCCTCGACATGAGTATTATGAGTATTTTGGTCCAGAGTATACTCTTCACGTTTCTCCTAGTAACATGGAAAACAAGAACACACCCCGACACCTTGAAGAAATCCGTAATAAGCTACTTGACAATCTCTCGATGATTCAGCACTCGCCAAGTGTCCAGTTTCAAGAAAGGCCACCTGATACCGAGCTTCCTGAGGTGTGTTCTGCCGTTACTTCTTATTTTGCAGGAATTTTGCCCTACCTTCCTTTCGCATCTGGTATCTACTAGCGGAAATTTACGACATTTTCCATTCCAAGTTTCCCCCAGAATTGCATGTACTTTTATCAAGTGTCCATGGTTGGCATTGAACATTTTGGCATGTTGCTTAAATTTTCTTCCACTTTAGGTTCAAAAAATCTCATAGACTATTCTATTATGGATTTGTCTTATATTTCAACACGAGCCGTTCGGGACATTAGACATTCACAATCGCGTGCTTAACAACTAAAGTGCTTCATAAAGCGGGTCTTTGGCTCGTATCCGAGAAAACAATCATGTGCTATATGTATTTTCGGAGTGGAAATCGTCTTTATTTTTCCATGCAATGAACTGGTTGTAGTTTGCCTCGTATCAACTTTTCATACTTTGTTTCTTTTCAACTCATAATAATCAGGCTGATGAAGATGAAGATGAAGATGATGGAGATAAAACATGGGGTTCGGATTCAGACATGGGCGTTGATGAGGACCGGTATTTATCATTCTTTTTCCTTTTCTGGGTTTTACCCCCAACCGTTTCTGATCACATTCTAAGTTCATGTTTGCTGATCATTATCTCATTTACTCAGTAAGTTCATTCCAAAAAGAGTAAAGAGAGAAGTGATTGAACCAGATACGAAAGATCCGGTATGCCTTATGTTACGATATCGGATTTCATGATTTAGGGCATTTACGACATGATTCTTTTATCTTCTTTATTTTGACGAAAAACTTTTACTGCCGTATATTCTCTCTCAGGGGGACCGAAAAGGAACAGTTGAGCAAGCTAGAGGATCTGTGACAGATGAGACTGTAAGTACAAACATGAACTTTTGAAACATAAAATCACCATGACACACTTTTGCAGTTGTATCCTGTGTTGTCCCGATCTTTCGTTTTCCTTTTAAGTACCTTCGAAAACTGATTATATCCGTGTACAGATACAGACTCCTATCCATTACCCACCCCAGATCCCTAGTATATCTTATATAACACAATCACATTCGAAAACCGATACGACAGCTCTGAAAAGTTGTGTTGATGCTGGTTTTTTGCAGGGTGTAAATGTCAGTCCGATGGCTATCGATGAACCAACAATGAAACCTAAGTAAGAAACAATAATAAAGCATCCGATCCGATGTACCCGAAGACGCAAGCCGAACGGTCTCATCTAGGTACCGGATGTATTTTGTGCCATTTTGTTTTATCAAACATTATAAGGTCTCATGTTCATGTATGAGCCATGAAAACCTAAAACAATTTGATTTATGTTGTAGCTGCTTCAAGCTGTATATCCAACAGTTTAAACTGTTGATTATCTAAACAATTTTAAGATTTTATGTTTGTTTTGATTCTTTATTTTCTTCATTTTGCTTCAATTTTAGAATTTTTTTTCAATAGAAACATTATGTGACATTTTAAAATTAAAATGTTGTTTAACAACTAGGCTAGAAGATAAAATATAATATCCAAATAAAATATATTTATAAAAATCAAAGTATTGATAAATGAGTTAATTAGATATCAATAATCAATAAAAATACATTAACATGTTGGAAAATTAAATTTAAAAATTTATACAGCCCAATGGAAGGTACTTGGAACATTCAACAAATCAATATTTAAAATTAAAAAAAACGAAAAAAAAACAAATCTAAGGCTTAGATTTACCTAGCTCAACATCCTTGAGCAGAGATGAACCGTCCAACTGCTGCTGCTTCAACAATTCAACATTTGCTTAAGAAGCATCCTTGGGGAGTGATGAAGCCTTGGATTCAGTTTGTTTATCAGCCTCAACAGTCCAACTGTAAACTACCATGCCAAGGATCGCTGAAGCCTTGGATTCAGTTTGTTTATAAGCCTCAACAGCCCAACTGTAAACTACCATGCCAAGGATCGCTATCGCCATCCCGAGTTTATTTTTCAGCGTCAGCTCCAAATCAAAGAGCAGCCATCCCAATATCAATTCGCAAACCGTTTTCATGTGGCCTAGAACCTGGAGAGACGTGGCGGAGAATCGTCTGATGCAAAGATACTGACTTATGTTGCAGAACACCGCCAACAAGCACGACAGTAGTATGAAAAACTGCAAATTTTTCAGGATAACCCAAGATTCATAGCAGTATCAGTATTTTACTAGCAAGTCTTGGTACCATATAGTGTTTGTGCATATAGATGTGCGAGACAAGGAGTACTTACCAATGGAAACGAAGAGAACTTATAACTTGCCAGCAATTTGCTGGTGAGGTAGTAATCAACAAACGGACCGATCAGCAAAAGAGACAAAGCTTGGATCGGAGCAGTTTGACTAAGCAATTCAAATGAGCCTATCGAGTATTTCTTCTGTACGGAGCCGATCGACTGTTCCAACATAAGTATGACTGATTAGTCAGCAGGTAGAGAGAATCAAAGACGGATAGCTTTAACATACGAGCCTCTAACATAATCACTCGACCGCAAATTGAACGCTAGCTTAAATGGCATGTGTGGTAGCCAAACTCTCGGAGGTCATAGACCGTAGTGAACTTCAAGAGAGTAATATCTTCTCAGACAAGTTAAGTAGGAAAGGGTAGGGGGTTAATGGGTTGACAGAATTCCAACCGATACAAGGAACCCATAATCAATAAACCAACATCATGGACAGATGATCATAATGTACATTGAACATAAACAATTTCTTGATCTTTGGATATATAGATAACACCTCTTCTTTTCATTGTTAAGACTTCGCACGAAATAGACATGTTCAGATAAAGCAGAGGAGATATGCAACCTGAAATGAAAAACAAAATTTCAAAACATCAGTGTTAATTAGACATTGTTGTTATGATGGTTTGAAAGGCGTTATGCTATTCTGCACTGCGATCATAAAGCGGCTGAAAGCATAAATGGAAAATGCTCTCAAGCAGAACCAGAAATATGGAGAATGAGAAATGCTTACGATTTGTTGTAATGAGGTGGACAGGACAGCGACGCAGGCACAAATAAATCCTTGCGCATTAACTTTTACATCCATGACGGTACAAACACCAACAACCACCACAATGACTGCGATCTTGACTCTGTTCGAGTAGTGTTTACTGTGTAGCATCCATTCCATCACACAAACACCAGGAATCATACTTAGCTTTGAAATCTGTATCGCAATGATAAAAAAAAGGGTTAGCTTCGAAATCTATACCATGATGATAAACAAAAGGGTTAGGTTTGAAATCTAAATCACAACGACAATGACAGAGCTGGAATAAATGAAATCTATATCACAACGACAATGACAGAGCTGGAATGTGTAAAATATATATCATAACGACAACGACAGAGCTGGAATATATGAAATCTAACGACAACGACAGAGCAGGAATGTATAAAATATATACCATAACGAAAACGACAGAGCTGGAATATATGAAATCTATATCAATAACAACAACGACAGATCTGGAATATATATCGTGTATACAGGAAATAAACCTACTATTGATGTTTTTTATGTTATTTGTGGATACATCATTTCATTTACCTTATAAAATCCAACTGAATTCAGCATGAGGCTCAAGTTCATCCCGGTGATTGAAGTTTGGCAACGACGGAGAACCAAAGAAGCTCCATAAAGGAACCTTTTTCTTGTCGAGTAACCGGTGGCATTCGATACCAAACAGATCAAGGCAGTCATAGAAAAATGGAACCCGGTTAATGTAGTAGCTGTGAATGCAAGAAAACTCTTCAGATTTGATAAAATTGGATGAAGCATATCCATTCATTTCATTTTGAGAGATCAAATTGAACTTTTTCCCAAAGAGGTAATTGAACTTTCAAAACAAATGAAGTTAAGGGAACAATCTAAAGTAGATCACAATCAATACTAAAAAATCTTATCACTTCCACTGTAAAAAAACCATATTGATTTGAAGTTTAAATAATGTAAGACTGTAAGATTACAATTACCAAGAGATTCATATAAATGTCAGTCATCAAACTGATTCTAAAGAATGATCATACACGTTCAGATCTGGACACACAATCATAATGAAAGAGATTTGGGGTTTGAATGAGCCCTTTGCAGGATAAGATCTAAATTTAAAAGTTTCATAATTAATGGTCGAAGTTAAAACCAATGGAGACTCCCTAAAGTAATTGAATTAAAAAAAAGATAAGAATTCAGCAAATAGAAAATGGGAAAATTCAGCGGATCTGCCAGAGATTTAAAAAGGGAAAATGGGAGATTTTCCGGATGCAGTGACTGGTGAGAAGAAAAGGGGGGAATTGATCCAGATCTGAGACGAACAAAGGCAAACAAAGAAGAATTGGGTATAAATGTAAACAAAATTCGAAGAAGAATAAGAACTGACCGAAGACGAAGGCGTAGCCGGCAGGGGACATGAGCTGCTTGTTGGCCATAATAAGGCCGACGGAGCTGATGACGTTCATAGCCCAAGCTCCCACATCGGATGCTTGTTTCTTCAACATGTCCATTTCTGATTATTTAATGATAAAAATTGAAACTTTCTATTTTTCTTTTGGCGCTCGGTTGGATTCTAAAACTACACCGAGCAAACACCCTCTTTCTCAAGGTCTTTGGATGGTTCTCCCACATCCACAACACCGTTACTTTGCAGGCCAACTTATTATATAAATACTAAAAATACTACTACTTATAATTTAATTAATTAATTCAAATATTATAACAAACAACTTTCTTTGATTAAAAAAAACCCTAAGGGATTGTTTGGTTTAAGTCATATAAGATGATCGGGAGAATGAAATCCACATTCCTCGTTTGGTTGGTCGGTAATCTCATTTCCGATAATATTTTATTACCAAAAGTGGATTTTTTGGGATATATTACAGGGAATGTCATTATCTCTCTTCCCTTAGGTATTGTTAGATTATCGGTATTTTGGACTAAAATGTCCTTAAATTTTTTTTAAAAAAATATCATTCTTTTGTCATTGAATAATAAAAATTATACGAAGGTTAAATTATAAATTTATCCTTAAACTATTTTAGATTTATAAAAAAAGTATATAAATAAAATTTTATACGAAGTTCAGAGGTTAAAATAAAATTATACCCTTTCATTAAACATTTTATATTTTCAATTTTGTAAAAAAAAATATATAAATCTTATGAATTTAATTTTTTTAAAGAAAATATATAAATATCTTATAGTAATATTATAGTAGAATTCAAATTGTTAAAAAATAAATATATAATAAAGACAATTTGATTAAATATACATTTTAATAATTTTTTATTCTTTTAATCAAACGCGGTAGTCTTACATTCCTGCTAAACCAACCAAACACAAAATACAACATTCTCAGACATCCTATTCCCTGGTAATCTTTTATTCTCACTGGTAATCTTACATTCCACGAACTAAACGCACCCTAAAGAATCAAATTTCTCTAGTTGGTGTATGGTTCTTATATATATTTGTCTTTATTGATCGACAAAGACACCAATTTTAATGTTGATTGTCGACTGTCGGTTTTTTTATTGTATTTTTTTATATCATATCTTTATTTTCTTTTTTTTCAATAAATTTACTTGTGTTGCACGTTTTCATATGCCTTTATGATACATTTTCTTATGTTTTTTGACATGTTTTTCGGTTCTTTGGTCTTTTTTTCATTTATTTTTTCTAAGAGTTGATTTGACATCATCATGACTGATCAAGATGATGCTTATATAATATCTTATTGATCTTTCCTGCTTTGGACCTCAGATTGGATTTGGATACTCGATTTGCGTTCGTAGATAGCTTTTCACATCGCTCGAGTCTGATTTACAATTTTTCGATGGTCTTTCAAAAGCTTGATCTCTTTTTGTGGTTCGTTTGTCGATACAATCAGATATATTTGTATCTATCTTTGTTCGAGTTTCTTGGTTAGATTTAATATTTCTATGTATGTTTCTTATGTGATATTAAGCTGCTACTTTTGTTTCAAAGATTATAGGAAATTTTCCTAGTTATGTGTCTAATTTACGATAAATCTTTATTATAATTTGGGATATTTTCTATTTTGAATAAAATTAGTTGCTTCTATAAAAAAAACTTCTTCGAGCTAAATATTAGGGTTAACTACATGGATGATCACTTATATTTTGTATTTTATCCACATTTGGTAACTGATTTCAAATACATAAGATATAGTCACATTCGCTCTTGTTTAATTAAGATATGGTCACTTTTGTTTTTATTTATTTAAGATGCAGTCACCACAGGTTAAATGTCGTTAACAGTTAACAAATTAAATGATGTCATATTTTGGTATAATCACACATTTAGTCCGTATTATTTACAAATTCTCTCAATGTAGTCATACTTTTAATGAGTTAAAATAAATTTAATCATCAAATTGAATGATGTCACGTGTCACTAGTGTCATGTGTCGTGTTTCACCATTTAGTTGAATGACTAACTTTATTTTATTTTAATATATTTACTTTCTATCAATTTGATTTGCTTTGTTAAATTAAAATAAAATAAAATAAAGTTAGTCTTTCAATCGAATGGTGACACACGACACATGACAGTAGTGACACGTGACATCATTCAATTGGAGGATTAATTTTATTTTAATTAATTAAAAATATGACTACATTGAGAGAATATATAAATAACAATGTCAAATGTGTGATTACACTAAAATAATTAACGATGTTAACTCATGATGATCACATCTTAATTAAATAATAACGAATGTGATCATATCTTATGAATTTTGAAATGAGTGACTAAAAGTGGATAAAATACAAACATAAATAATCATCGGTATAATAAACCGTAATATCAAATAGAGTAGCTTGTAAAATAATATAATAATGATTTAAATTTTTAAAATTTATACATATTAATTTAAAATAATTTAATGAATTTAATACTCTCTATTTAAATTTTTATTAATAGAGTTTTTTAAGTATCTATTTTTATAAATATTATTTCTTAATATATTAATAGTTTAGCATTAACTTTTCGTTATTTTATAATAAAATAAATTCATTCAAATTTTATATAGAATAATGAGTTGGAAGGGATTTTTCCCCTATATGCCTGCATTTTTACCGTGTATAGTTTTTTTATCCTAACAATGGCAACTGAAATTCATTAATAAAAAATAGGGAAATCAAAATTATAAAGTATTTAAAAAAAATTGAAGACAATAATCACAAAAAACTCATACATAAAATTAAAATATTAAACCCAAAGATACGAAAAAAATGAAACCTTTTAAACATCAAAACGATCTAGTAACATTAATAAAATTCCTTATCATTATCGAACGAGACGTTTTACAATGTGATAAAAGAATAGTGAGCGAGCCAAATAATTTGGCATACTGCTTGAGGATATTGTGGAAGCACCAACATTATCGTAGAAGTATGCGAAAAAACTTACCGAAAATCATAAGGAGCGTGTCACAAGAACAGAGAAAAAACGTGTCACAATGACTAAGATTCTTATTTAAAAGTGAAAAAACTCAGAAAAAAGAAGAAGACATAATATGAAAAAAGAATAAGAAAAATAATAATCACGGCAGTCGGCAACCAATATTAAGATTAGTGTCACCGTCGACTAAACAAAAAACAAAGAAAGAAAAGAAGACGGCACAAGATATAGAGAGAGAAAATTAGGCTAAAGAAAAGAGAAATAAAATAGGATTTTTACCACGTTAGTTAACAATGTTAACTATTGAATCAAATAATAATGATATCAATAAAGTATATAAACTAAATTATGATAAATTTTAGGTATAGAAATTAAATATTAAGTTTAAGCATAGTACAAGGACAAAAACTGCAATTTCTAATTTGTTACGTTAACAAGACAAAATATTATAATGTCAGTTATTTAATTTAAAGATTTAACATTATTAATTATTTCGGTTAAAATAATCATCTTAAATCTATAAAAAAAATTAATATTTTGGGACAATCATTTTAGTCCCTTGAGGTTTTGTCATTAAGAATGTTAATATTTTAAGTTCGAGTTTCACCATACATGAACATCATATATGAATTTTAAGATTAACTTTTATATTGATTTAAGTATTAATATGTTGACACGAATCAAGTGATCTCAATGGTAAAAGAATTATTTTTCCTTAATGTTCTAAGTTCGAACACCAAGAATGTCAGTGATGTGAACGTTTTGTTGTTTAATATCAAATGATAGAGTCTTCATTGTTTGACATTGAACGTTCATACACCTAACATTACTTATGTTCAAACCCAATACCTCAAGAAATAACAACAATTCCTCAAACTAAGACCTAAATTTCAATTCAGTATTGAACTTCTCAATGTTCTGATCAAATCCTCACAGTATCGAAATCGTATCAATCAGATCCTTCAATCTATCAACTTGGGCATTGAATCATGCATCGAGCAAGTTTGAAACATCTTGATTTAAACTTCTAATCACATACCTATTGCATGAACGCAAAAAAGGATGGACACAATATTTTATGTTGGAGACGAACTTATAAAATTTTAAGATATGAAAATAAATTATTAATAGAAATTAAAAAAAAATACTTAAATTATATGAGAATTAAAAATTTTTTTGGAAAATTTTAATATGAAAAAATATGCTCAACGTCATGTACCTATTGCATGAAAGTTCACGTTTCTAAACCACATAAAGCTTTGCCAGGTAGAAAGGTTTTCTTAATCACTAATAAAGAATGCACAGCTGTAAAATGTTGATTCAATGAACAAGTGGGAATCATGGACGGTCCACATGAACACATTCCCCCCAATTCAGATATATAAATAATAAACACAAACTCTAGAAGAAAATGTGCTATATGTAGCAAGCAGACAGCATAGTAGACAACTGGTTGAGCTGTGCCACAACCACATAAAAATGGAAGCAAATTTGTTTTGGTTTTTGTTTAAATAGCACATTGAAAATGCCCCTACCTCATGCACATACACTCACCGTTTGCCGGCATCCCGGCTCACAGGAATGCATCCTTCTCTAGCAACTTCAGCACCTCGTGCTGATTGTTCAGCTTCGCAACATCGATAGCCGTCTTCCCGTCCATATTTTGGAGAGTGCTGCGTTAAGAGACGAGGAATTACTTTCATAGTGAAAAGGGGGGAAATAGGATACAAGAGTCGTCATTGATGATTGTCAGATACTCATACGAGTTGTTTTACTTACACGGCAGCGCCGTTCTCCAGTAGAAGGGCCACACAGTCTTTCCTTCCGTAACCGGCTGCGTAATGAAGTGCGCTATTCTTATTCTTGTCCAAAGCATCAACTTTTGCTCCAGCTTCAATAAGGACTTGAGCACATTTCACCTATAATTATATTGGGTTTATTAGCTTTAACCCTCTTGACAATAAACTTGATAGTCTAGCATTTATTAAAGGGATTATCGTTACACAAAAAGTAAAAGTTCAAATAGATATGACTGGTAGACGGCCATTCGTAAACATGGAACCAAGAAGCACGCATATCTTAGTAGTTGTCAGATTCCATGTTACACTAATATTATTGCATCATGATGATGATGATGATGATGATAAGCAAAGCCTGATTGATATTTGACCATCCTTCCATTCAAAGCTGCATTCGACTGTCCATTAAGAAGGTCACCTAAACTCTATTTCAATATTTGTCCATCCTAAAACTAGCACTCGACAAAGCTATTAGGAAAAGGTCAAAGGACTACGGTTATCATTTATGAAGTATGATATAAAGAGACGATAAGCATTAGTGATTTCCATGGGTACTGCAGCTTGTAGGCAGTTAGTAATTAAATCTATCTGGTTCTATGCACCAAATTTGTCCTAGTTAGAAACCACATTTGCTGAATGATGCATGTAGAGAGAGGGGAGAGAAAGATTCAGTTACAAAATTATTATACCTCGCCATATCCACATGCGAAATGCAATGCTGTCCTTCCCTCTGAATATTCTTCATCCTTGTCAGCACCAGAGGCTAGGGCAGCTTTCAGACCCTAAATCATGATTAGAGTCGAGACTTTTTAGATTACCTGTCAAAGGGGAAGAAACATACGTAGAAATCGTTCATTAAGTCATACCTCAACATCACCGACACTAGCACAATTATGTACGATCGATTCATCCTCATTCGCTACTTCATCACCTTCATCTGCTGCAGAGTAACTGGCAGAAGCGGCTGCGTCTCCTGAAACAGCAAGACCCATTGCTTCACCCAACTTCTTCAGAACATCTTTATCATTCCAGTACCTAAAATAAGAAACCTTTTAGTGACCAAATACGAATATGCACATCCTACACTCATTCTAATGAGGAAAGATGTCATGCTCGTGAGCTAATAAAATTACGATGCTGCTAATCACCCACTTCATCATTGCTGCAGGACCACCAGTCTCTATTTCATCTAGAATAGGTTTCAATGATGGATCTTCTTTCATAAGTGCCATCCTTTCCTCAATCTGGTCTTTGTTTTGAGGATTAGTCAAACCGTCAAGCATGCTAGACATAGCCGGATCCTAAAGAAAAACAAAACAAAAGCTTCATCTTTCGATGTGATTTCATGTAATTTAATACAGGGGCAAAACATTAAAAGAAATGTGAATGCGCTATAACTTGCAACTGAACCCACACCTGCATTAATGTATTACCAAGGTGCTCAGCCATGTTCATAAACTGGGGATTCTGCATAACCTGTTGCATAGTTGAATAGTACTGCTGTGGATCAAACTGTGGCATGCTATCTTCAGTCGCTGCCCCTTGAAAAGTCTTAGTGAGCTGTTCTGCCATTTGGGTAAATGAAGGATCTTTTGCTATCTGCTCAGCTAGTTCCTTGATGCTTGGATCCTAACAGACCAAGATGATTAAGAACCATAAGCCATAAAATTAAAATTCGTTGAGAGTTGAAACTTAAAGAAAAGCTACTAGGGCCACCAAATTGGGGTCTACATGATATTATTACACAAACACGCTCATACACGCACATATATGAGATTAATATCAAGACCGAATCAATCACAAGAATAGCAAACTTCAGAACCTGCTCAAACCCAAATTGACCAAAAAGTTAAAAAAAAAAAAAAGCTGTACCCAAATAAATCTGAGCCTTTAAAAACTAAATCTCGAGACTATTATAATCCAAGCCCATAATAATCTAAATTTAATGCTAAAAGTTATATTGATTACTTGTCCATTAAAAAATTAATGATCAACTTTCTTCAAATCCAAACCGGGACAAACTTGAGAAAAGTAGCCGAAAATTACTTGAACTTGAAATTACTCAAAAACCAAAACTTGATGTCCCTTGTATACCTGAGAATGATCTGATACATACCCATAATAATCCTAACTTAATACTAAAATTGAAATTAACATCTTTTAGAATATCATTGCAATGTTATTTTAATCTTAAACTGGAACAAAAATGACCTGAAACTAAAACTCAAAATTACCCCAAAAGACTTGAACACGTAAGCCCATAAAACAAAATTTAACGTCCCTAGTATACGTGCAATTACAGAAAATACAAGATTTAACCAAGCTCCCAAATTTATCAGTGGACACTGTTCTTCTTTTAGCACCTGGTCTTAATAGACTTGAGTGTCGACAAGCCAATTAATGAGATTTAACCGTAAACCTTAAGATACTTGACTAGATTACTAATGCAGCAATGCATTAACAAGGACACAAAGCAAAAGACAAGTTATGATTATCAAAACACGATCAGATGAAAACATAAATAATATCAACCTAACTTATTCAAATAAACAGTTTATAATAACCCAAATAAGAATGAAAATGAAAAGGAGGAAAGCTTACATTAAGAAGGCCACTCATAGCTGAGAAATCAAACGGATTGGGTGGGACAAACCCAGGTCCAGGCATAGTGGCAGGATCAGCTCCAGACTGTGCTGGTTGTGATGCCCCAGCAGAAGTTTTGTTCTCGGTGTTCGATGTTTCTGGTTTAGAACTTTTGCTCTCATCTAGCAAAGACAACAAGAAACATAAATACTAACCAGCTCTTACTCTAGTAATCCAGAAATTTTGAACTCCAAGAAAGTGAAATTAACCAATCTCTCTAGTAGATGAAACCCCTAACTCAGTTACAAGAACTGAACGATGTACTGAAAAGGAATAACACAATTCAAAGGCAGTATCGACAATAACAATGAGAGACAGCTATTTTTATTGTTTCAATTCGAAAAGCCAATCAATTCAAGACCTAAACGAAGTATTAAGAAGGGGGGAAACATGCAACTAAAAAGGCATAATCAACAATAACAATAATAAGGGGTAACCATCTTATTATCGACTCGAAAACCAAATTAACTCAAAACCCAAAACTTTAAACGGGTAACATAGATCTCAGAACAAATTCCAAACCCAAATTCAACGTTAATACAAAAAAGGGGAATCTGGGATATTAAGCTCACCGGAAGAAGTGGATTCCTTCTGCAAATTGGAAGCCATAGCTGAAATCCAACGATGCTACAAATTAGAATTTACAAAAAGAATAAACAAAACCCAGGAGAAATTAGAAGATGGGTATTGAAAACAACCTTGATTCCTAGGTGGGATTCGATAGAGAGAATCAGGAGAACCCTACCTGATAAGCAAATGAGGTGGTGTTGTGCTTTGCTTGCTGGATTGGATAATGAGCAGAGCGAGTGACTTCTAAGGCGTAGCACAGAAGGAAATGGAAAATCAAAGGGATTAGGAGATGGAGGATGCTAATGGGTGCAAGTGGAAACTAGAGATTGTGTTGTGGATGAGTTGGTGGGCCATCTCTAGAGATCCTCATCTTCTTCTTTGCTGGAATCGGTACAGCTGCTACTATCTTAGATTTAGATGAAATGATTTATGTAATAATAAAAAATGTTTGTTATATCTAAATATTTGTGATAATATCAACGACTACAACATAAATGTTCATAAATATTTAAAATAGATATTATTTTATATTCATATTTAGTTTAATCAAAAAAAAATTTAAAAGTATAAGATTATAAAATTTTAGAAAAAACAAAATCGAATCTATCAAACAATTTTAATGGTTAAATGAACTATCATTTTTTCCCTAAATATCATGAGTCCAATATGTAGACATATACATTATTAATAATTAATAAAGATTCAAAATAAATATTATCTTATAATTATTTTAAATTATAAAGAAAAAAATATAAAATTAAACATCAATATAATATATATAAAAATATAAAATTTACACATGTATGGCGTACCATCATCTTTCTACACTTTTTTGATCAATTTTCATACATATTGTAAAATAATTTATTAAACTATAAAATTTTATAATACTATGCACATAAAAAAATAATAAGTATTTGAGGTATACACTTAATAAAAGAAGGTTATAAAAGTAAAAAATGGTGGTGTTATATATTTTATTAGACAAATATTATAAAAATAAGGTAATGATCACGTGTCAAATAGTATTATAATAATTTTTTGATTATTTAATTTTACGTCAAACGAATTAAATAAACATAATAAACAAATTAAATGAGAGAGCATGTCACGTTTTATATAATTTTTTAATTTTTTTAAAGTATATCTAATTTTTTTTTTAGTACCTATTCAAAATTTAACGTTAAATTAAAAAAAAAGTTCAATTACTAAAACATACTAAAATTAATATTTTAAGTATTAAATACATTAAATTTTTAACGATAAATACTAAAATAAAATAAAAATTAAACGTTGGATATAATTTAAAAAAATTAAAATTTAAGTACTAAAACTAAAACTGACCGTCTAAATAGGGTGAGGAAAGCACGAAAAACTTTCCATTATCCTTAGATGATCAAACACCGAGGGAAAGCAACGGTGAATGAAAGATAATCATGGCGGTGAAAGGATTTTCTTGCAATCCAAATGCAAGTATAACTGAAATCCATCATCACCATCATCTTCTTCTTTAGTCGCCAGGCAGCCATTTCCCAATCCTTCTTTTGCTTCATATCCGATTCTAAACATCAACAGCAACAAAAAGAAGACACCGATTCTTCGAATCCGAGCTGCAGCGGCAGCTGAAGAAAGCAATCCGACTGTTAATGTTTCTAGCACAAGCGATGTTAAAGGTTCAGGGACGACAGCCAGAGGGAGGAGACTATTCAAGATACGTGAGGAGAAAAGGAAGCGAGAATTCGACAGGCTTCACAATTACCCGTCATGATCCAAGTACTTATCCGTCTACTGTTAATCTTCTTTATACGTGCACTATGCGTTCTAGCTGTTCGACTTATTGCAACAGAGTCCTGGAAGACGCCTGCAAAGACGATGAGGAGCTACGAGCGGTTCTCGGTGATAGCATTGGAGACCCTGAGCAAATGAGGAAACGAGTCCGTTAACACTTTTTTTTTTCTATTTCCTTACCTGAAATCAACTTTATAGCTCATAATCTGATATTCCAACGAATTTTTTTCATCATGATATGTAGGTTGAAGAGCGTGTTCGTAAAAAGGGCAGAGATTTTAACAAGAAGAAGACGGGCTCTGTGCCTTCTTTTAAAGTCAGCTTCCGAGAGTACGGCTTCTATTCCCTCGATCAAGAACTAGCATACTATGGTAGTAATTGATTTACATGTTTAGTATTGAGGGTAAAACTGTTACCTTTACTGAACAAAAAGTGAACTTTTGCTGTCTAGGTTTTAGGGATCGAGTTAAAAAAATTTGAGCCTAGGAGTCTTATCTTGTAACTCAACTTTTGTTTGAAATCTTTTCGAGTCGAATACTTTTAAATTTAGTCATAAATATTAATAATATTATGGTATTTTTTATATTCTTTTACATGTGATATACATACGTCATACATAGTTGAGAGACTCGACATAAACTCTAAAGCCAATCTATTAATCACTACAAATTTCGAATTCTATTTTACAACTTTACTCGAATTTGAAATCTTTTCGAGTCGAGTTTATAAAATTATTAGTCGAGTCCATTCATTTTTTTTTGAGTCGAGTAAAAAAATCGATCTTTCGAATCGAATTTTGCTCGCACTTGCTCGTATGAAGTAGCTGATGTTTCTCGACCTTCCAACTTTTATAATCTTTGTTTATTTTGTCTGTCCAGTTGTAATCCACTCGATTCCTATATATGGTTCGAGTTATATGGATCGCCTTCTGATCGAGAAGTCAACCTGATTGGAAGCGTAACAGTCTCACTCTCCTTCCTATTCCTTCTGTTAGCAATTTGGTGCTGAAATTAAGACTATTGTTGGAGAACCCTTTTCTTATTTGCTCTCATTTTCTTTATCTGTCTGTTGTGTATGAACTGTATATTGTTTGTAATGGAAGAGAAGACTCACTCAATCGCCGCCGCCCTTTCCTATAAAAGGGAGCTTTCCCCTCACTCGCAAATCGCACGACCAAATCATTCTCTCTTATCCCCTTCTCATCTCTGCATTTTTCACAGCTTTTCTCTGCTTGCTGCTTGCCGGTTGGCTCTTTGGGGTGACAGTCCGTTTTCTGATTACAACGATCACGTCCTGTTTTACGGTAGTAATTATCCTACATTTGTATTAACTCAATTCAATATATGTGCAGGCTATTCAGTCCTGGTATGTCATGGGACGCTTGGGAGCCTTTAATTCATCTAATTTGCAGGTTTGTTCATAATTTTCTTTGCTCCGTTTTCTTGGCCTTTATCAGGGGATCTTGCTGTGCAAGAGGAAATAATCTTGTTAATTAATATTGATGACAGTTGGCAACTGCTTCAATGGAGTACGATCCCCTCTATGATGCAGATAAGGGTTTTAACGTGATGCCATCATCTTTTCACGATATTAGCGATGTCGAGTTTCAGGAGAACTGGGGCCGTGTTTGGTATGATTTCCGATATTCATTTGCAGTTTTCATTTTGGTGCCGTATTAGTCTGTTTCCTTATTGCTCTTTCTCTGGAATTTACGTGTTGACATTTACAGGGTGGATCTCGGTACTTCGGATTTTTCCCCCATTGATGTCCTTCTCAACTGCATGACAGTATTAAGTGCAGAGTAAGTTAAACTGATTCTGATGTGTAATGAAAAAGTAAAAATAGAAACGATTGTCGTTGAATTTCATGGTGGATACATTTACATTGTTCCCTTTTCTTTGCCAGTTATTTGGGCATTCAACAGACAGTTTTTTGTGGTCACCGGATCGGCGATTGGGAAGAATGTTTGACGAACAGGGGAGTGGCTGAGGGGGCGCAAGGTGCGCGACCGTGCATGGCTCCCAAAAAATAGGGGTCTCAAATCGAATATATCTATCAGTTGTTGCCATTAGTAAGTATAAAAATAGAGGCCCCGAAATCGAATATATCAATCCGTTGTTGCCATTAACAAGCATAAAAATAGGACTCCCGAAATCGAGTATATCTATCAGTTGTTGCTATTAAAAATCATAAAAATAGGGGTCCCGGAATTAAATATATCTAGAAAATAGAGATCTTTTATAAGAATTTGCACATGTCCCCAATAACCTAACCACGGCCATGATGACGAACCCCGACTATAGCTACAAGTACTTCAAAATCTGAACCGAACGTCGATCCAGATGCAATTGCAATCTTGAAGGTTTGTTATTTGTCCTAGGTTGCAACTTGTGTATACAACTTATAGACTCTAGAGATGGCCCATCAATGGGCTTACTGTTCCTTATTTGAGTTTGAAAGTTCGGATATAAAATCAAGAATCCTACTTTTTGTTCCCTCAATTTTCAACCTTTTAAAGTGATTCCGCATGAAACTCGGACTGCTGCTACCAATGAACGATTGTAGATCGATAGAAATCAATTGTTCGACTGGTTTTCGACCGCAATGTTCTTCACCTAAACAGCAACCAAAGACCAAATCCCATTTATCCATTGTTACTGAACCAAGACTAGTGGTTAAACAAAATTGTAAAGCAGGCTTTATTGTTGGGGAAAAAAAGCCTAAAATGCAGATGACTGCCAATTCTTAATCAACCTCGGTTGAAGTAAAGTTCTAGCATATGCAAACCCTTCCCTTATACCGAAACCGCTGTGACCGTGAGCTTGGGTTAACGTCAGTTATTTTGCGGCTGGCGAGACATAAAGAATTCGAAATCATGGTGCCGGAATTGAAGTTGTCTCAACCAGGAAGCAGCAGCAGTTTTTTGGCATTTAATGGTGTCCTTGTCTGATGTTTTGGGGTTGGTCCACAATGTTCCAAGCATCTTGTAAGCAACCGCTGCAAAAGGAGGGAGCGAAACCTCTTCTTTCTTGCTGCCTGATCAAACCCCAAATGAAAAATGTCACCAGCAGACAAGATTTTGAGTTTACCAGAACATTGGATTGAGATGCAATGGCTATGAAAGTTTATATAATTTATACCAGTTGCTTTGATTATACCTTGAGGTAGAAATGACAATGGATGGTAGGTGAGGAAACATGCCGACAGTTCTTTCACATCCCTTGCCGATGGGATTTGATAGACAGGATACCTAATAAAACATTAATGGACCATGTTCTGACTTGAAAAATAATTTTTATATTGATATTTATGTCTAAATATATGACGGATGTGGTTGCTTTCAGATAAAATGTAGAGAAAATGACGATATTAATGAAATAAAACATACCAAGCTATTGCCATCCAACTATAAGGTGAAACATCTGTGCTGCGGAGGTCAAATAAACAAGGATAATGCTTGCTCAACTCACTAATCTGTTCAAAACAAGCTCACGTTAAACTAACATATTTACTAGGATAATTAAAAACACATTTTATATATTTTGCGTTTGATAGCTGAACCACAACTCAAAAATGGTTATTGATTGATAAAGAAACTTTTGACCCACCTTTTCTAGAAGGGGAACTCGATCGTAAGGACTAGCCGTCTCATTGTATTGGTAGTACAAGTGGCCGCACTGATCAGTTGTTTGAGTAAACGTAGTAGGATCATCGTCCCAAGTGATCTCCGAACTCAAACATGACCCATTGCTTGAAGAAGAAGAAGAAGAAGAAGAAGAATTGCAAATTTCTTCACTGCTGTCATGATCATTACTACAAGAGCCAATTTCAGGGTTTTCCATGCTTCCCAATGGACTACAGTTAGCCAAAAGTGACAAGAACCCAAATTAGAGAAGGGGGGAAATAAAATAAAATAAATTTCAAAAAATCTATTTACTATACGATTCAATTTGATCATTTTTTCTCCTTTGTTTTTTTTTTTACCCCAAAATGTGTATTTTCAATAGCAAGTCCAACCCTTTTTCTGATTTGATTGTACAAAACATATCAAAATATATATGTTATGTTATCATATGGATTATATTTTTTTTAAAAGAAAATCATGTCCAATCATTCGATAGGATCAATGCAAAAATTTAGTCTTGTACCTGAAAAAAACGTGTTTCACAAAATTAAAATTAAAATGAACAAAGTTATTAAAGTAATCAAAAACATATAATACAGGGACCTCCTATAAAATTTAACCGGAAAATAGAGAGACCTGAATGAGAAAGAAAAGGGCTTGATTGTATATATTTGCAAAGCTGATAAGGAAGGTGAATAGTACTGCACGACGGCTCCGCCGTTGTTCAACACAATAGGGACAGCAACGCCATAAGCACTCCACTCGGTATAAGAGTGCCACAGATCACCCAAAGTTAAGCCTTCGATTGTATCATTATCCTTCTCCATATTTTGCGAGTATCCATTTGGAGTTTGATTACATTCCTGTCAATTAAAATTAAAAAATATTATAGATTATTTTTTGGATTAGTATTAATCTAATTAACAATCAAGGATTTAATTAATCAATAAACAATATATATCATATGCATTAAACCTCAACTTCCTACTTAGCATCAATATTGTAAAGACTGTATCAATAAATGAACCGATCAAATTATGCACTTTTGATTTAATTAATTAAACTGTCAGCTTAATTATATAAAATTAAAAAAATAAAAATATATATATTAATAATTTAAAAATCAGCATAAATTCTTAATTTTGTGTAAGGAATATGGAACAGAAGCACACAAAAAAAATCAAATGTTGTTTAGAAGATGTTTTTATAAAGCAAAAGGAAATCTTGAATTCAGTAAAAATCGAATTACATGAATTGTGAAATCTTGAAATTGTACAGAGAAGGAAATAACACAACTATAAATGGAAATGAAAGTATTACCTTCGGCAGCAATCGGATAGGAACAACGGGAGTAACAGAACGAAGAAAGCATTGAAGATTCGAGTGATTTGAAGCAGACGGCATCGGTAAATCCCAGGGAGAGAACACCGACATTATCGAATCGACGACGATATGCACTCGCCTACTTACAGCAATAGCAGGTATGTTGATGCAGAACACCAGCTGTTAGTATAAATGGCGACTCGTTATATCATCTTTTATAATACGATAAGATCTCATTTCATATCAACATCGGTGAAGAAGATGATCATGAAAAATACATAAAAATCAATCTGATAATTTCAAATTTAAGAAATATCAATATCCATTCACATATATATAATCTCCATCTATTTAAAAAAAAATCATCGTAATCAATTGTCATTGTCTCTACCTGTTTGGATCAAGCTGGTATCGAAGATTTATTGGATGCAAACAAAATTGAGCTATACGAGGCGACTAGAAACCTACTGTTTTAGAATATAGCAAGCGGACGAACTCACTGCTCTTCTGTTTTTGCATCAGAGAGAGGCAAACTCAGTTTTGATTCAAAAACAAAGTCACGGATTCAAAAGCAAAATGCGGTGGCTTTTAAACAAAAAGGAGACAAAATCCACCACCTGAATTCAGAGATTCTGATGAATTATATGGTTGAATTTTTTTAAAATTATTTTTCAAATTTCATTCACCTGTATATTATTTAAAGATATATATTAATATATAGATTTAATATACAATTTTTTATTTGAAGTATAAATTACATGCTTACTCATTAAACTTTACTCTCTCTCTCATTTCACTCACCGTACTTTCAATTTTTTCAATTTGCTCACTGAACTTTAGACATTGAACTGTTGTTGTCACTCGACCGTTTACTCAATAACGGCGTGCTCACGTGACTTATTTTAATAATAAAATATGATACGCGTATACTCACTGAACTTTACACTCTCTCTCCTATTTCACTCATTGTACTTTTAACTTTTCAATTTTAATATAACGACATTAGAAATTTAACGGCCGAGTGACCAAAGAAGTTTAATGTTTAAAGTTCAGTGAGCAAATTAAAAAAATTGAAGTTACGGTGAGTGAAATAAGAGAGAGAGTAAAATTCAGTGAGTAAGTGTGTAATTTACCCTCAATTAAATTATTTCATTTTCAAAATTAATTAGATTAATTGAATTTAAGGATTTTATAATTCAAATCCTTTTAACAAACACTTATCCGATAATGGCAACTTCCATTTTTGCTATTTTTTTAAACTTCCATTTATGAAAAGGGTAAATTACAAATTTGGTGATTGAGCTTTACTCTCTCTCCTATTTCACTCATTGTGTTTTAATTCTTTTCAATTTTCTCACTAAACTTAATACATTGGATTTTTTGTCACTCTACCATTAAATAGTTAACAACATTAAAATTGACAGTTATGTAGATGCAAAAAGATGTTTTGGTGAATTTTTTTCTAAAATGGCATCATTTTTAAAGTCGTTCATTATTTAACGATCGAGTGACCAAAATAGGAGAGAGAATAAAATTCAGTGACAAAAAATCTAATGTATTAAGTTCAGTGAGAAACATAAGAGAGAGAATAAAGTTCGACGATGAAATTTGTAATTTTTACCCTTATTATTACATTGCTAATGCTTACTGTCTCTTTGGCGCAGTTCGTTTGGGACGGCAAACTAATTCTTAGGGTGTGTTTGGTTCACGGAATGTAAGATTACCAGTGGGAATAAAAGATTATAAGGGAATAAGATTACTGAGAATGTTGTATTTTGTGTTTGGTTGGTTTAGCAGAAATGTAAGATTACCGTGTTTGTTTAAAGAAATAAAATATTATTGGAATGTATATTTGACCAAATTGTCCTTATTATATATTTGTATAATATTACAAATTGTAAAATATTTATATATTTTCTTTAAAAAATTAAATTCATAATATTTATATAATTTTTTTACAAAATTAAAAATATAAAAAAGGTTTAATGAAAGGGTAAAAAAAATTAATCCCTGAACTTCATATAAAATTTTAATTATAGACTTTTTTTTGTAAATCTAAAATAATTTAAGGATAAATTTGTAATTTAACCTTTGTAGAATTTTTATTATTCAATGACAGAAGAAGGATATTTTTTAAAAAAAATAAAAATTTAAGGGCGTTTTAGTCCAAAAAGCCGGTAATGTTACAATACCTAAGGGAAGGGAGGTAATGACATTCCCGGTAATATACCCAAAAAAATCTACTATTAGTAATAAAATATTACCGGGAATGAGATTCCCGGCCAACCAAACATGAGAATGTGAAATTCCCATCCCATGAGAATCCTACAATCCTTGAACCAAACACCCCCTTATTGATTTGTGAAGTCTCACTCACCCGATGATTTATATATATATATATAAGATCATTCAATTATTAATTTAGTTAAAAATAATTCTTGAAAATTATAATTTAATCATTTAAACATAATATTATTATAAAAATATCTTCCCAAATTAAAATTAAAATATACCCTTAAATAATAATTTAGTCTCCAACATATCAGAACCAAGTGAAATCATCAAATCAACATAATAATTTGATAAATATATTATACTATTAAATAATAAGTTACTATTAAATTGTTAGTATATTAAGAAAATAGTATAACATTTTCAGAAAAAGAAAAACAAGTAATATAAGAGAAGAAAAATACTAAATTGGTAACCATTAAATATAAAAAGTTGAATTTATTAAATTATTTGTTTGAATTAAGAAAAAAATGTTAAATTGTATAAATTTTGGAATTGAAACTGATATTATACTAGATCTCATTATTCCATCTAATATTTAACGGTAAATTATGTATTTAACATCTAAACTACCATTTTAGCCCGAACTTTCAAATTTTTTAAAAATCATATCTAACATTTAATTTTTGTTTCATTTTAATACCCTGCAATTTAAAACTTAACGCATTTAGTATATAAACTATAAATTTTAATCCGTTTTAATACCTAAACTTTCAACAACAAAAAAAGTAAAACTTAAATATTAAATTTTGAATGAAATACTAAAATGAGACAAACTAAACTTTAAGTATGATTTTGAAAAAAATTAAAAGTTTAAGCACAAAAACTAAATGCGTAATTTACCTGATATTTAATTACCAATGATATATTTATAATAACATTTTAATTAATTAATAATTAAGTAACTTAGGGTATATTTAACCCCTTTTGTAATTAAGGATAAGATATACAAAAAACATTTATTCTAATTAAGCAAAGCAACCCCTGCACCAATAGAAGCTTTCAATTTGCTCCATTTCAGGTTTCTCAATATGAATTCAAATCACCCAAATATCACCAGTCCCATCTTTTGGACACGTGTATATTCATATATAAAATATGTATATTTTACATACGAGCCCAAAGGTACAATTTGATGTTCAGCATATTGGGTTGGTGTGTAGTAATACAGTGGTTGGCAAAGACGTCATCTTGAATAAATTAACTAAAAACCAACACAATTAGCCAAAGTCGAAGTAGTTTCAATGCAAGTAGAATCAGCTTACCGGTTAAGAGGTCTCAACTTAGGCGTCGAATTAGAACATGTACAAGATGCAGCGTTTCTACTTGGCAAGACGATATGCATCGAAGTAGTTGTTGCTGCTCGACCGGCGTGTAAGCGCCGAATCATGCTCTCTTCAGGGGTAACATACAGAATGTGGTCATTAAAAAGCATGGGAATAAGTTAGTTCCTGCGTTTGGTACATTAATTTCAATCACGATACTTCCTGTAGTGCGAGGTTCAATTCCTGGGCGGATTTCGAAACCGACCCCCCTCTTCTATTGGGAAAAAGAAAAGGAATTAGAACAGTTGCATATGATTGAACCCTATAATGATTATACAGGTTTATATGACCACCATAGTCACCTGGTAAGAGAGGGCAGACTGCGTTTTACTTTCTCTAGTTCTACAAAGCAGAGGTTGCAACGCTCAAACCTAGGACAATCAGAAGCATGAAATTCCGGTTAATAGTCTCATAACTGAATATTTGAATGTTATATATGAAGCTCGAAGCAAGAGGAGACACCTTTGCTCTGCCTCGATGTCCACGCCAACGGGTGTTGAAGCTGATATGGTTGAATATATCATGGAGCCAAATACCCTTACCAGCTTAAGCAGCATGTCTAGACAGATGCTCAAATGCCTGCAAAAGACTAGCAGTTAAACTTTATAGGTAGATGCAACTAACACCAAACAGATCCTAAGAAACTAAGTACTAAAATACCGTATCACGTTAACCTCCTTAAGCTTATTGAAGTTTGAAATTCACCAAGAATGTAAGGCGAATAACTACAGAGTCCAAAACTGATTGATCTTTACATACAAAAGGAGAACAACAATCCAAGCCTAATCGCTACAAAAATGCAAGATTATGGACATTGTACTTACCTATCCATGTCACTTGCAAGGAGACCAGACAGAAGGGGCAGAAGACAAGTGCAAATGTCCAATGTGACGATGTCCATTTTCTCAATGACAATGCTCATGACATCAGCAAGCACCTAAAATTTCCATCATAAAATGGAAAGGAAAAAAACAGAAGTGACTCTTAAATATGTTCGATTTACACGGAAGTTCAAACTGTGATGGGCGCATTAACAAACATAAACTTCTTACAGCATAATCAGCCATCTTTTCAATTGCAGATATTGCCCCCTTGATGTCATTTCTTTCCCAAAACCTATGAACAGCCTATAACCAATAAAAGCAAGGCTCAGCAATCTTCTATGAAAGCTTGGACATTGTAGACGTTTTATTAAGCGAACAACAAAAGCATCCCAAAAACTAGTTTCTTTCAGTCACCTGTAACTTGGCAAAACGAGATTGCATGGAACTAATGAATTGGTCATGGTGCTCCAGCAAATCTGCAACAGCATCCTCATCACTGGCAGAAGGCATTTCTTTTTGCACAGATGCAGAGTATCCTCTTTGTTTATACTTCAAAAGATAACAGCATGAATACATAAATTAGCATTGACAGCGACTTGATAACATATTAGAAAAGGGAAAACAGGTTAACACAATATGGAACCAAAGTGAATACAAGATTCTGTTTATACCGCATTGAAGGAGGGCACGTTTTCCATTGATACATTCCTCGGAGAGATACTCATAGTTGGTAAATCAAAATTAGAAGATCTCCCTCTTTTCTCCAAATTTAAGACTACAGAACACGTTCTTCCTGAAGAATTGACCAAGTACAACGAGTTCAGACCTTCATAGAGTAGTTTATAATACAAGCAGCTATCAAGAGCTATACCTCCTCTTAGGCTTTCTAAAGGATATGCATCTATATGCATTTTTTTTGCACTTGTGCATGTGAGAGTGATCCTTCTTAAATAGTAAAGACTTTAATCAAAACCATTCAGCTGGAACTTCTGAAACATCACCTAATGGTTACTTTACATATTAAATTTTCCTATTCTCTTTCACTGGAAGCTCTCTGTTCTTATCATCTCACTCATTAGTTGGTTCCCATAAATCTCAAGAAAACTCATGATTGATATTAAACAAAGGCCTTAACTACAGATATTTCCAGTCATAATCTAAATGACAGACTATTGATAAAATTGTCTCAGAATCAAACACTACAGAAAGTCATGAGTTCAAGAATCATACGATTTTCATTCCGGTAGCTAGAAGGCAACTCTGTCACTGAATTTGGTTCACTCTTGCCAGAGCCAATGCACCTATCTTCCCTCATATTCCTTTCGGCAGCAGACATTCCTTGAATAGGGCCTTTAACAACAACAAAACTACTCCTGTCCAGGACACTGTTGAATTCAGCAGCCTTAGAACCTGTAGTTTCAGATGGAGCAGAGATATCTGGCCTGTCCATTTCTTCCTTGAAATTTTGAAACTTTCGGAAACTACTTGTCTTTGACTGCAAAGAAAATGGCATGGTTCTTCCAACAATACCAAGTTCTTTTCTGGAATCAGCTCCCTGCTCCAAAGTTCTTCCAATTATCCCAGCTTCTTTTCTTGATTCAGCAGCTGGCTGGCTTGGCTCCGAACTTCTCTCAGCTATTCCAATTTCTTTTCTTGACTCAGCAACCTGTTCCAAACTTCTCCCAGATATTCCAACTTCTTTTCTTGATTCAGCGGCCTGCTCCAAACATCTCCCAGTTGTTCCAGCTTCCTTCCTTGATTCAGCAGCCTGCTCCAACCTCAGATCATTTCTAGGCACAATCACAGGTATGACATCCGACTTGCTAAAACTTGGAGCACTGATGCATGAACTAGCCTTTGTAGAATTCCTTTTTGGAGCTGCTACAGTATGAACTGTTACAGAATTTGGTTGAGTTGTCTTTGGAACTGTATTTATATTGGCCCTCTGGGGGAAACCAGGTACATTTCTTGGGGCTTTAACCATAATGCAAAAATAAGAATAAGATAGATAAATACATAAGAGTTACAGGTGCCCCCCATTAGTACTTCCAGATGTTTCGTAACTTTTTAAAGCACTAAGTTTATTAAATGGCTGAAAATATATGCTTATTAATAATTATCAATTAATTATTTTCAGAAATTTTATTTTTCTTTTAAACAAATTGACCTAATACTACTGCCTGCATTCGAGAAGTAATACCATAACGTCCAATCCATCACTTATTAATAATAATAATGATTAAAGGAAAAACCTTGAGGACACAACACAAGTAGAAGAGAAAATTTGAGCATTTCAGCTATATAAGTGCTATGCATCAACTCACTTGTCTTTTTTGTTTTATTGATCAAAAAGAGATAATTAACAGTGATGGGTTTAATACGTCTCTCCTGAAACCTTTTTAACATATTTCTCTCTTGAAAACTTATTCAGGATGAACAGTATACTTAACGATACAGTTCCTTAGAATTTTTTGATAATCAATAAAGAGAAAATAAAGCAAAGATGCAAAACTCCAACAAATTAAAGTAGAATGTAACATACATGCCATACTTTTGGACTCCTTGGCAGGATCCGAATTTTGTGAAATGGACAACCTTCCAAGGGATTTTGTTTCCTTCACTAAAGTATCCGGATTTTGTGAAACATATAATTTTCCCATGCTAGGTTTTGTCGTGTTTTCATTCAGAACAGAGAGGTTTCCACCTGAACTAGTTTTGGGTTCAGCATGACCACTCACACGATTACCAGTACCAATAGCATATGGTTCTATGCGCTGTATCAAGGACCAAACTTTATATTAAAATATTGACATAAAGACTGCCAATTAAGAAAGATTACTGATTAAATAAGTTGAAGAGTAGAAAATGAATCATTACCGAGATATCTACAACCCATACTCCAACACAGCTTTGATTATATGAGCAGCCAAGAAGCTTTCCTTCATGAATATTAAGATCTGACAATCTAGACCATCCCACATCCACACCATCATGACATCTTATAGGTTCCCAAGAGAAAACCTAGATGTTGCAAAGAACAATGAAGTGCAAACTGGAATAAGATAGAGCTTTACCTAGTAAATCATTTTATAATGATGAATGTCGAGTCTATATAAGACCCTGACCTTCAGATTTTCATGTAATCCACAGAGAATAGTCCTCCCATCAGGATTGAAGGTCAAGCAACGAACTCCAGTAGTCTACAGAATATAGGAAGAAAATCATGTATTCATTTGTTCTATAAAAATAGAAGATAAAAGATCCTATTATCACAAAATAGAAATATCTTATGATCTTGATTCTATTAAAAGACTCAACAACTGTACCAAAGACCAATAAAAGTACCTCGGGTCCAGCTGAACCAATAAGTTCAAAGCTTTCAAGGTCCCAAAATTTAACAGTCCGATCAGCTGAACCTGTGAAGGCAAGAGGATATATACTGAAAATCAGAGCAAAGAAGGATTTACATTTCGCAACTTTCATAGACAACATAAAAGATCTTAGGATAAGAATTACATTTTAGGATAGCATAGCATGATAAAAGGAGTTTTCAGGACAATGAACCATAAGCAACAACTATTGTAACAGAGGGTAAGAACAAACCTGTAGCCAATAGAAACTCATGGGGATGAAAATCTAAGCACTGAATTTGACCTTCATGATACTTGAAATCATGCAACAATTTTCCAGCAGTTAAATCCCACACCTGTTGATATACAGAACATGACAAGGATCGGTATAGAAGGTGTCCTTATATGTTAAAATTAAAGTATTGTGCATATAGAAATTGCCTATACATCATTTAATTTTTCTAGGGTAACTTTTTATCAAGGAGTACTGACTACTAACAGCAGGCAATTTTTATGCCATGCTGATCATACACCATTTAAAACATTGAAAGAGCCTGCAGATGCCAAATCCTAATGTCAGTGTGCCAAAGAACTGCAACAAGGGATCCATTAAGAGCAATGTAACAGTAACCCTGCACTATTTTCAGACAGCAAATTTTTGAAGTTGGCTGAGTTAGTGAATCAAAATCAATGTGTGAAACAAGATAGTTCATCCAACACCCTCAGCATCACAAAGTCTCACTCCAAACTCCACAGTTTCAAATCCACTACCCAGAAAATGAGAGCATAGCAATGAACCAGATTGCCATTAGAAGAAATTAAATACTTCTATGTTTATTCACCCTACGTTGCCCACCTGATCCCAAAAGAAAAAGAAATATGGAAGAACAATATGTGTACCAATAAAAGAATCATGTCGGTAAAATAATGTTATTATCGTGAACTCAAGTATAGCAATCTGACCTTCACAATGTTGTCCTCGCCACCGGACACAACCCATCGGCCATCTGGTGTAAACCTGATTGCATTGACTCCTCGAGTGTGGCCCTTGTAAGTGTGGATACACCCTTTCTTTCTGATATCCCATATTTTGAGATTTGTATCGAGAGAGCCAGATGCAAAGAACTCACCAAATGGGTGGAAATCCACAGAGATGCAATTGGATCTATGACCAGTCAGAGTCCGAACAACTATAAAAGCATCAGAAACTCAGATTGCAACAAAAAATCAAAGTACTGCATATTTTAAGCCAAAAATCTAACATAAAGCAAAAGGTCTATGGACTTGGATAACCATACTTTTTGCCTCCTCCAAATCCCAAAGTTTGATGGTACCACTTGCAGCACCTGCAGCCACCAATACTTCTGAAGAATCAAAGGTTACAGAATCTACTCCACTTGTATGTCCCGATAAACTCTGTCATAATGTTTGAAACACATGTACGGAGTAAGAATTCACATGCCACCAAAATGAAACTATCGAAATAAGAATTCTTTAATCATATCAGTTGTGAGTATTATTGCTCCCCCCACCCCGAGCCGAATATGAAAAGAATGTAATAGTTTTTAATAATTTGAATAGAGCAAATGCTAAGAGAGAACTGACCAGTATGGCATTGGGTTTGCCAATAGCCCAAAGATTAACCTTGTGATCTTCCCCTCCAGTTACAAGAACCCTCGACGATTTCCTTCCAATCTTCAGGCAATTCACAGCAGAAGAATGTGCCACAAATTCCTCTGTTCATTATAATTGTTAAGGCTACTCCAAGTAAAATACTAACAAAAAATAAAAAGCAAAGAACAGAAAGAGATCTATTTGAGGTAATCAGTACAATTGTTACGGAAAACCCAGATCAAGCACAGCAATCTGAAATACAACTTGAAAAAAAAACTAAAAAAAAGGATACGTAGTTTGTAAGCGCGTTTGGTGGTCATGGCGGAAACGAAACAGAAGACAAAACCCTAGCAATGGCTATAGCACACATTCAAATAAAAAAAACTGACAAATGAAGCCGTAGATCTCATCCTCATTTCATTATTTTAACCATTTTCCACGGCTGCAAAATCGAGAATTTTTCACAGTTAGATCGGAAACATTAGAATACATAAAAAAAAAGCGTTCAAGAAAACGAAGGGGAAAAAAAGAGTAAGCAACATTTTACCAGAAACCAAAGACTTACAGAGATGACAACAGCTGGAGAGATCGCTTCATTGTTTAATCATCTTTCTCGGCCTTCCTCCAAAAAACTTATATTTTCTTATACCAAACAAAAGAAAAGGGTAAAGAAGCAGTAGTTGTACAAAACAATAAATAACATATATAGAAATAGCAAAAAACGAAAATAAGTAGGGTTTGCTTTGCTTTTTGGGTGTTCTTCTTCAAAACCCAGATTTCATAGAACTTTCAAAGTAAAACCCAAATCTGAAACTTAAAACCAAAGGCCTCTATTAAATCAGATTTTCCAGATGTAAAAACGCTGAAAGAGAAGATACAAGGAAGGGGGAAGGAATGGAGCCGCTTTCAAGTTTCGGTTTCACTGTTGCTGCAGTTTTTCTCTTTTACCTTCAGCGTTAATTCATCTCTTTTCTTTTTCAAAAAAAAAATCTATTTTTACTCAATCAACAAGTTTTGAATTTTCTTTAATTTCAAAATTAATCTAGAAGGGGAGTGGGAGGGAAATCTAAATCCAAAAATACAACTCTTCAATATAAAAAGAATCGGGGAGGGATAAAATAGGGTTGGTTAAATTGTGGTTGTGGTCCCTCTACTATGTATAATTTAAATTTTAATATCTATTTGCTTTCATTTGACCTGATTTCTTCCACTTATTATATCGTTTATTTTAAAGTCTTCAAACATTTGAATGATATATATAATTTTTAAGGAAAAAATTGTGTCGGCATTTTAAATTATTTCAAAATGAAATATAAAAACTTTTAGGGTAAATTATGCATTTAGTACTTAAAATATCAGTTTCAATCAGTTTTAATACATAAACTTTTAACTTTTCAAAATTATACATAATATTTAGTTTTTATTTCATTTTAGTATATTACCGTTAAAATTTAAAGCATTTACTATCTAAACTATCAATTTTATAACGACGTCACACGTAAAAGATGAGCAATCGCAATCAAAGGTTAAAGAAGTTGACCAATTCGAAGTCAATGGACAAGCACCGTCAACATTAATCTTGATGGCACCGAGAAAGGGTTTAGACCAACGCTCTACTTGCAAAGGAAAGATGATGAAAGAGGAGAGGATGTCGGTCGGGTTGTCCTAAAAGCGAAAATTAAATTTTAAATGTTCGAGACAGATCCGAAACGTTAAATGTTATCCAACTCAAAATGTTAAATATTTTTATCACTGTAATTTTCATACGAATAAATAGTATTATAAAAATTAAAATATCAAATAAAAATGCAAAAAAATTGTTATACTATTTTAGAATCTTATTAAATTATATATAGTTCTAAAGCACAAATTCCACTGTGTATCAAGTCAGATATGAATTATCTCGACATCCCAAATTCTAAAGCACAAATTTGAACACAGTACAAGGACCGAAAACATAATTTGACCAATAGGGTAAAGTGAGTCCAGCTCCCTTTATTAATTTTTAGGGTAAATTACAATTTTATAGCTTAAACTATCAGTTTTTGTCCTTTTTAGTACTTAAACTTAAAAAAAAAAAATCAAAAATTAACTTTAAAAATTTGAAAGTATGTTATATATAAATTTTTAGTACTTAAACTATCAGTTTTTATCCTTTTTAGTCCTTAAACTATCAGTTTTTGTCCTTTTTAGTCCTTTTGTGGGTACATTATTTGAACATTGTTATATATAAATTTGTTGTGTAAGTATGTTTTGGTTTGATTATATTATATGTATATTTTCATTCAGTTGAGATGGGTTATGTATAACAAAACAATCTATCTCGCATGTGAGTACTTTATTCCAACCATGTGACAAGTGTGACAACTCCATCAACTCACAACTCAGCTTTGAACTCAATTAATATTGTCTTTTAGCTTGATGGTTCATAAAGCATGTTACTTGAACAGTATGAATCAATTATGCAATTTTCATGTTCAATTTAACACTGCATTTCAAATTCATTTCATATGTAATTGGAGTTTGAATTTAAATTTCAATTTGAGTTTGAATTTCAATATATATTTCGGCTCCACTATAAATATTAGCCCAAGCCAATATGCATGTTATCATTGATTATTCCTAATTTCCATTGTTTTTTTTCCAACGTATAAACGCGAGGGAAATCCCGACCATTTTATTTTTTGGTCAACTTTAAAGCGTCAGAAACGTTTCGGGCGTATGATCTGGGTGGTATACAAGAAATGTAACAAATAGCAACTAAAATCATAAGTTGCGTACCACCCAAATCATAAGTCTGAAATACTTCCGATGCTCATCAAAATCCAAAGCTCATATGGTGCCAAGCAAAAGGAAATCAAAATCCAAATCTCATATGATGCCAAGCAAAAGGAAATCAAAATCTACAACTTGAGTTTGAACATTGATATGATATGTTCAGTTGTTATCATGTTGGGATTTTCTCGTTTTTGATTGCTTGGATAGTTGTTCTCTTGCTTCTTCAAGTGTTCTTAAGGTTATCCTTTGAGTGAGTTTTAAGATATTAATTTAGTAATTATAGGCGTCTAATGATTTATTTTTTACGTTACGATATATATTATTATTAAATTAAAAATTTTAAATAATATTTTATAAATATCAAAACAATCAAATAATTTTTGTGTAAATGAAATTATTAAATTAATATTGTAGGTGGAAAACATGAAACACTGTTAAAAAAATTGAAACATAAATTACATAACTTTTAAAAAAAAGTATCGATCCTTTTTATAAAAAGTATGGACACTTTCAATATAATAGGTAAACATATGATGTAATAGGTAGCGCTTATATAATGTAATAGGTATCGTTTATAATGTAATAGGTAGTGGTTATATTGTAAAGTGTCTATCCTTTTTATAAAAGTGTCCATACTTTTTTCACTGTGGAAAACATTAATTTAAGGTTATCTTTTGAGTGAGTTTTAAGATATTAATTTAGTAATTATAGGCGTCTAATGATTTATTTTTTTCGTTACGATATATATTATTATTAAATTAAAAATTCTAAATATTATTTTATAAAATATCAAAACAATCAAATAATTTTTTGTGCAAATGAAATTATTAAATTAATATTGTAGGTGGAAAACATGAAACACTATTAAAAAAATTGAAACATAAATTACATAACTTTAAAAGAAGTATCGATCCTTTTTATAAAAAGTATGGACACTTTCAATATAATATAATGTAATAGGTAAATTTGCAATGCTCACTGTGGAAAACATTAATTTAAGGTTATCTTTTGAGTGAGTTTTAAGATATTAATTTAGTAATTATAGGCGTCTAATGATTTATTTTACGTTACGGTATATATTATTATTAAATTAAAAATTCTAAATAATATTTTATAAAATATCAAAACAATCAACTAATTTTTTGTGCAAATAAAATTATTAAATTAATATTATAGGTGGAAAACATGAAACACTATTAAAAAAAATTGAAACATAAATTACATATCTTTAAAAAAAATATCGATCATTTTTATAAAAAGTATGAACACTTTCAATATAATATAATGTAATAGGTAAATTTGCAATGCTATCAGTATAAATATACCGGTTTACTTATAAAATAGGTAAATATAAGCGCTACCTATTACATTATATAAGCGCTACCTAGTATGTTATTGTACTTTATAATATTTTCGATTAAATAATATAACATAACCGGTCTAAATTTTAACCGATCACTTATTTAACCGGTCACGCCGTATATTAACATTTTTTTAGGCGCACCGCATAACCCTCTTTGAATTCTATTGCTTTCACGTGCATCACGTTTGTTTTTCTTGCACGCCACCCCACCGCTCCCTCTACATCAAAATGCGTGTGAAATTCTTTAATAGTAATAATTATTTTTTCCCTTTTCCACCTCAAAAACTTTTGCTTAAATTTGGAGCTGCCTAATTTTACATCAAATAAAATAGTTGATATCAACAAGTAATTAATTTAATGAGTAAGAGATTAAATCCCTTAAGTAACGTCATAATTCAAAACATAACGTTATAAACAAATAAAATTAAGTTGAAAATATCATCCCATAATGGACTCGTGCATACACTTAATTTGGATTAATTAATGAATATATCATATGTCGATAATTAGACTAAAAAATTGATATTTAATCAATAACCAAATCAAATAGTTTTGAAGAATAAGATGCTAATTGTATATTAGTGAAATTATTGGGGTATGAGATGCCATTTCCATGTGCAAAAACACTAGTCACATAATTGAGATGGCCAGATAGGGTAGAAATAAGAGAAAATTACACGTTAAGGACTTAAGCTATTAGTTTTGATTCGTTTTAGTATCTAAACTTTTATTTTTTTTAAATCATACCTAAGGTTTAGTTTTTGTTTCATTTTAAAACCCCTGTTCAAATTTCAACGTTAAGTTTTGGAAAAAAAAAATGAAAGTTTAGGTATTAAAATGGACCAAAACTTATATCTTAGGTACTAAATGTGTTAAGTTTTTAATGGCGGAGTAATAAAATGTTAGGTACAGTTTTGAAAAAATTGAAAGTTTAGATATTAAAATAGAATAACATTGATGGTTTAAGTAAAAATGCGTAGTTTAAGTACTTAATTGAAAATTTTGAAATAATTCTAACTAAACCATGCAATATTTTTTAATCCCAAACTCAAATATCAAGAACACCCATGTTAATAAAACTCGAGATGCTAGTAATTCATATTATGTAAAATTTATAATATTAGATGTTTTTTTTTGAAAAAAAATATAATATTCAATGATGTAATATATTTTATGGAGAGAATTATATATGATATACTCATACTATGGCTTATATTCTAAATTAATTTGTAAACCTTAAAATATCATGTAATAATCTTTAAACTACGATTCACCTTCTAATTGATCCTTACACTTTAAGATGTTCTATATCAACCCTCATACTATTAACATTGTTTCATTTTGATCATTCTATTAACATGTTGTTAACTATATTGATTAAAAAATTTATCCTTGAAGACCCTAAGAATTGAACCCGTTGCTTTCTATTAAATTCTCATGACCTTCGAAAATAAATCACTTTTTTATGAGATCACAAGTTAAAATCTCATAACTTTAAAAAAATCACTAGAGTTAACGACATGTTAAGAGAATAATCAAAATGAAATGATTATGATAATTTAAAAATGATAGAGAGAGGGGGCATAACTCATGTGGTAGAGTACTCGCTCCGCATGCGAGAAGCACACCATTTGTTTCACTGCACAGTCCCTTATAAAATAGGGAAAGAGACTTCGATACGATATAAGAATCACTATCTATATCTACTAAATCACATAAAAAAAAGAAAATAAACAAATGAAAGAAAGGGGAAATGAAAGGAGGGAGGGCATCCTAATGCGAAATCGGTAGACGTTACGGACTTAATTGGATTGAGCCTTGGTATGTATGTTTCTTTTGTCAAAAAACGATATTAAAATATTTTAAAGTTCAAGGACCAATTTGAAAAGAGGGTTATAGTTTGAGGACAAATATATACAACATTTTAAAGCTTAAGTACCGGTTTGGAATGGGGATCAAGTTTAGGGATCTTCTGTGCAATTAACTCTATTTTAGAGTTAAGAAAGAAAAAAAAGGATGGGATGCCATTTCTGCTCAACCATCAATGTTTCACCAACTCAGTAATTTAACCCTAATCATTGCTTAACTCCACGCCCCTTCATATCTTCACCCCCCCCCCCCCTTTAAAGATTCATAATCCACTGAGTTCTGTGGCGAGTAGCACTTTGCCGAGTCTTATGATCCACCTGTTTCTTTCATCTGATACCTCAAAGAACACACACAATATACGACAAGGTTCATGCTTTTTACCAATGCACAAGATTCAACCAGCATGGCATGAGCAAAGAGAGTGGAACACTGGAACTTAATGACATCTACACAGGTCAGCTTCAACTTTGTTTCCTACCTTACTTGACAATGTCGCTAGAACCAGTGCCGAATTGTTCATGTGTCGCGGAAGCGTATATACTACACATTTCCATTGTTGTATAACACTGAACTACTCAGATTTCTATTGTTTGATGATCCACTTCAAGACAACAGTAACAGCAAAGTCCAGACCAAATACAACAATAAAATCAGGCCTTACCTCGTTATGAGTCTCAGAATATGCAAAGTTCAACAGATGTAAAATCGGGTGTAATAGCATATGCACAGTTCAAAAAATGTAAAATCGGGTGTATTAGCAACAGCTCAAAGAATCACATTCAAACTAGGCGATAATGAAAATCAACTTGAGAATATGTTATTCACCTCAAGAAGTCTGCAGTCTGAAAGAGTTGTGCATAAAGGTTGGTTTTAAAAGCAACAGCAGTGCTTCCTTTTCTTCATTCAAGATAAAATTCTCCTCTAGCAAACTAAAGTGATACCTAATCAAGCTTTGACTAAATAGCCGGCTCCGTAAAACAGAAATTTCTTGTATAAGAGTTCTAGCCATAGAAAAGCAATCAATCACCTTTAATTGCATTCAATGAAATATAATACAAGGTCAAGATAACTTGTCTGGTTTAGTCTTAAATAAGAGTGCAGTCTGCGATGCTTGTTACTGCTCTAGCAGAGTTAAATGAATGAATAGCACAAGATTTAGCTCCCCACAACATCGAACAGCCATGTCAAATAACATGTGACTAGACATTCACGAAGGAAATGTCATCGTGATATTAACAAAAACTGAATGACTAGGCAGCAGCATACATGCAACAGGAAGGATCTATTTCATCAAGCCATGCTTTATAGCTGATTAAAAAGATGATGACCAAGAAATGTGCCAGTATGATAAAAACTTGATGATTAAAGTGATGAAGTTTGAAATGAAGCAAACTTTAGATAAATTTGCACAAAGAAAACAGAATATGGAACAAGATGAACGGAAATTACCATGACATCCGTTCCATAATAGCAATGACAGTATCTGATAACATTCAGTTTTAGAAACTATCTAATGAGTAGACATTATCATTTATCACCAATAATAGCTATAATAAACACCATAAAATAACTTAAGCAAGAACCCAAATGGAGAACCACGTGACATTCTCAAACAAGAAAATGCTAAATTTTGAATTTGGTTTCCAGATTTCAAGTTAATCCCTAATCACCATGTGAAGCAGAGCAGATAGAGCAACGACTAATCGACACCAAAGAAAAACGATAGTAATCCATTCATACAAATTAATATATGGTCAGCCTCACCTATTTTTTGAAGGCAATAACTGCCAAGTAACTAAAATTTGCCCTATTGTCTAATAGGTTATAGCCCCAGCCAAAAAATAGACATTTCTTTATCAGCTAGGCAAACACTTAAGCGGTTCAACAAGTAGAGTCATTTCTTTACTTCATCATTTCCTTAAAATGACAAAAATCAACTAACCATCTAAAACATCAACTACCTTTATTTAGTAGGTCAAGCATGAAGTACCACAAAAAGTTCTTCTAGATCAATATACGATAGGACCAACTTTCACACAAAAATGGTTGTGACACTTTTAGATCAAGACTAAACCAACCACACACCACCAAACCAGTTCACAAATGGTCTAGTGATTAAGAGCAAAAACGGTCCAAATCAAACCATATCAATTGCAAGAGAGCATACACAACAATTAAATCATATATAAACCGCCCACCCTAGCCCTTCAAAAGGGCTAGATAGAGCTAATCAGCTGTGGTATGGTGGCAAGTTCCTGATGGCATTTTAAGTGTAATTCATGAAAGAGACCCCATTTTGCCAAGATTCCCAGTAAGGCAAAGCATCAAACGGTTGTGAAATTATCGTATTAGCATACCACAATATACACAAATAAGCAACCAGTCAGCAGGCTTTAAAAATGATATCTTTTGAAGGTAAGCAGGTAACCCATGGATACGGAAACTTCAATGCTACCAATTAATAAAAAATAAAAAAGCAAAAAGCAAAGAAATGCTCATTACCAGGTAGAACTGAAAGGTAAATGTAAATATTACATACAACAGTGGGCAATTATAGGGTGTTTTATGGTTATAGGATAGAAAGTATTATGCCTGACATATACAGATAAGAATCAGGATTCTAATCAAGGAATTCCAACTCATCCTCCTTAAGATGGGCAACGAACTTAACAGGTCCTCGTCCTTCAATCTCAGAGACGAATTCCACCTTGTAAGGAAGATTAGCTGAAATCCTTTTCCCTTTCCAGACCACCACAAATTGTTTAATCACTCCTTCCATGCCGTTCAGATCCAACTCCGGGACCCGATTCACATGATAAACTTTGAGAGGCACCTTTACCCTAACCTTGGCCCCAACTTTAGCCTCCTCCTCCGGCGCCTCCTCCGATACCGAAACCGACGCGTCTTTCTCGTCCTCGTCGATAGAAGCGGTTGAGACAGCTTGACAGGGAAAACCCCTTTTCCTCGCCCTTATAGCAACGTTGACGGCGGTCGCAGTGGATTGAAACGACGCCGGTTTGAACGTAATCATCGAGGTTTTGGCTTCGGGGGATGATTTCCCATTGGAGCATTTGATCGAACGTAGACCGGGCGTTGCCGAATAGAGGGATAAACAGGCTGTAATTGTACTCATCTCTGTTCTAGCTTTTCAAGCTACGGATTGTTTCCTTCCCCTGAAAAAACACCCCCAGATTCAACGACCGAATCTTATAAAAATCTGGGTTTCAATCGGATTCAGAAACGTTTTTCTTTTAGTGGCTCAACCCAAGCAAAGAATCGAAAGCGCAGCTACGCTAACCGTTTGATAGAGGAAAGGGAGGGAGCGGAAGCGTGGAGTCTTTTATTACCAGTCTTTGGGCCTTTGCCTAATCTTATAAGCGGGGTCGTATATGGTAATATAACTGTATTTAAGATATTTAGATAATATAATCTTATATGTGGGGGCGTATATAGTAATATTTATCATTTTATTATTGAGGTTAATTTCAATTAAATTTAATGATTTTATTTATTTTTGTTAAGGTAAGGTGATTACAATTAAGCACTCAATCACTCTGCTACAATCACTAGTGTTTCAACACGTGACCAAAAAAATTAACGATTCATTTAACCATTTAAATAGATTGGTTCGTGCGATAATTGCACTTTAATTTAATATAATTAATTAAATATGAAATGTTAATTTTATAGAATTTATTGAGTTATTTAAATGAAACAATATAATATTATTATTTCTATATATATTTAGGTTCAAGCAGTGTATAATCAAATGATTAAAAAATATTTTAAATAAATATTATTTTATAATCATTTTAAATTATTTAAAATATTTATTTATATAATTTTTTTATCAAAAATACTTTATATATTGAATTACATTTCATATGTAACGTTAAATTTAGAGTAAACTACGCATTTAGTATCTAAACTATCAGTTTTGATCTGGTTTAATATTTAAACTTTTAATTTTTTTAAAATCATATCTAATATTTAGTTTTTATTTCATTTTAGTACCTTACCATTAAAAACTTAACGCGTTTAGTACCTAAATTATCAGTTTTGGTCTGATTTAGTACATAAACTTTCAAAATTTTCAAAACTTAATGTTAAATTTTGAACGAGATACTAATATGAAACAAAAACTAAATTTTTTAATGGTGTGATACTGAAATGAAATAAAAATTAAAATCTAGGTATTAAAAAGGACTAAAACTGATAAGTTTAAGTACTAAACGCGTATTTTACCCTAAAATGTAACATGTTGAATGAAAAACAATACTTTATATTTTCTAAAAAAATATATATATAAAATGACACATGTTTTTAAAATATATTGAAGAAATAAGTAACTAATTAAAAATATAACAAATTCTATTTTTTTATTAAGCTAAGTATGTTTTAAATATTCTTAATCATTTGACAATGAACACTTAATCATCTTATTGCAGATGCTGGTGCTCGATCCCATAACATGAACAACAATAATTTTTTAATCACTGAGATAAATTAATTTGTGCAAAATATAATAAATAGTTAGATATCATTTATAAAAACAATAGTTGAGATTGAAAATGATGTTTGGGCACGGAATTAATCTGGGTGGTGATAGGGACAGGGGATTAAGAATGAGAGGCGGAGAAAGCAACCGGCCCCAATCTTCCTGGATAACGGATTCCGATTATCCTGAGTTAATCCATTTATATTACCCGTATTCGGATGAGTGTATAAATACCGGATATTATATTTTCTTAAATCCTTTTCATATATCTAAAACATGTTCAAAAGAAATTATATTTTCTATATTTAATGTCATCATCATTGTTATATACAAAAAAAAAATTAGGATAAATGATCTCTCAATTATAAGGTATGATTTTATTAAATCCCTTGATTATTAAATGTTACAAAATGGTCACTCGACTATCATTATGTTTCAAATTCATCTTTTTTTCGTTAAAAATTTAACGGTCGTTACAAGCTGGACTTTAACCATGTTGACTAAGATATGATAGTCATTTGAGATTAGGAGATCATATTTTATCATATATCAGTCAGCAGATTAACATACAACTCAGACTGTTGTTAAAATTTTAACGATAAATGACGAGTTTAGAATATAATGAATAGTCGAATAACCATTTTGTAATATTTAATAGTCAAATGACTCAATAAAATATTATCATATAAGCAGCCATTTATTACTTTACTAAAAAAACTATCCACCTCGAATTTTACTTCAAACCTTAATTGAAAATCTAAGTAATAATATATAAATATATAACGATCTCAAACGAAAATAATAATTCATTTTACCAATAAGATCATTTAACGAGTGTATTAATGTTGTGCATTCTGTAGCTTGAACAATCTTGAATACAGTCCCTCGGATACTGATACCAATGTGGAGTGAGAACCAGTCTCAAATCCATTACCACAATCGAATCCTAGTTCATTATCGTCGACAATCTATGCGCCACCGTAATCTGTGTGATCCTACACGCACCGTTCCGGTTCATTGATTCCACGGCGTTCACAATGGCTCTTTCGGACTCGCCATCGAGTGCAGTAGTTGCTTCATCCATGAGCAATACTGCAGGCCTCTTAAGTAGAGTTCGAGCAATGGCGATCCTTTGGTTTTGCCACCCGAAAGTTGACACCCTTTTTCGCCAACGACTGTGTTGTAACCGTTGGGCAAGTTGCTAACGAATTCGTGTATGTTTGCTTGTCTCGATACCTCGATGATTTCGGTTTCAGAGGCTTGTTAGGTTCCGTAACAGATGTTTTCTCGAATGGAGGAACTGAACAGAAGTGGATCTTGTTGGACTAATCCGATTTGTCTCCTCAACATCTTTAGATTGTATTATTTTATGTTCTTGTCGTCAATGAGAACCCTTCCTTCTAATGGTACGTAAAACACCAGCAAAATGGCTAACACTGAGGATTTACCAGCTCCACTTGGTCCAACAAGGGCTACTTTGGTTCCGGGTTCGATTCTTAAACTGAAGTTGTCAAGGACAGTCACCTCTGGCCTTAGGGGATAGTTGAATTTAACATTCTCGAACTCGATTTTGCCTTTGATCCTCTCGCGTGCTGAATCTTTGGGTTTTTCCGGTTCGATTTTGGTTTTACAATCGAGTGTTTCGAATGCTGGTGTTAGGACATTGATTGCTGAAATGACTGAAGGGATTAATGTCCATAGTTCAGTGATTGATGGTACTGTGAGGGGGGGAAATCTGGTACGATCTGATGCCATTTTCGAAACTCGCTTGTCGTCGTTCGACTAAGATCGTTGTGCACCATAAAGCAACAGCATGAGCAAATATTCCATAAGCAGAGGGAAAACCCTTGAATGATGCCATATATGATGCTCTCTCCTCCTTTTCAGTGGCTTTTCCAGGGCGATTATGGCTCTCCTTAGTACGTGTTCTTCGTGGCAAAACGATGCGATTGTTCGTATGTTGGCTGCGGATTCGGATGCAAGGGCAACGACTTTGCGGTGTATAGCTGCCGAGTCACCTGCGAATCCTTTGGCAGACTTGGCCTGAATGAGTCCACCAATGAAGTGGGGCCTGAATGAGTCCACCAATGAAGTGGCAAGGCATTACTGCCCAAGCTACCAGTCCCATTCTCCAGTTAATAACCATGATAACCACCGTTGCGATTAGTATCGAAGAAATACACTGGACGATAACGGACATCCAATTGGAGATTATGGTTTTGACAATTGAGGTATCATTGATGACCCTTGATGTAAGTGAGCCAACATTGTTCTCTGGTTTCTCGAACCAAGCGACTTTGTTACATAGTACAACTGCAATAGTTTAATGCAGCAGATGTTAGTATGTGCATAAGATAAAGTTTCGATTCGGAACGACACGTTCGGATGCGATAGATCAGTACCTGAATATAGAGCTTTCCTGAGGTTTGCCATCGCGTTTCTCCGACCACTCCGTAGAAGTAATGCTGCAGCGTGTGCAGGAATAAAGCAATCAATCCTATAACCGCAAAGATGACCAAATACTTTCCGACTAGCTGCTTTGCATCTTTCTCGTAGTATCCAACTCCCACGGTAATGATGAAGAATCCGAAAAAAGGCTTTGAAACACCAGCAAATGCTGCAGCTATAGAACCAGTTGCAATTTTCGCAACCTCACGTTTGCTTAATCTAAACCAAATTCTGAAAACGTTATTCGTTTTTTTTCCTCCTTTTTGGTTCAACTTGCTCGGAAGATTCGGTAAGACGTCGATCGAGTTCTCTTGTTTCCTCCTTCTGCTTAATGTCTAGTGGTGAAAACTATTTATCAGTAGTAACAGATTCTTCAGTAATTTCAGTAGCCGTACCATATTTCCACATTCCAAGCAAGTTAGAGTTATACATCGATTGCCTTAGGTGTTTGTGGGAAATCTGTTGGAACCTACCTCTACTCGGGAATTCGCCCGATGCTCTGAATACTGAACAGATTGTTGTAGAAATTGCTTGAGGCTAGCAAGCCGGAGTGAGTTACTGTTTCTGTAATTTGTCCATTCTCTACAACTGCAATTAAATCGGCATTGACGATGGTCGACATCCGGTGTGCAATCAGGATAACGGTCCTCCCTTGCATAGCCTTCTCCATAGCATCTTGAACCAGTTTTCTCCGACTCCGTATCGAGTGCACTTGTCACCTCATCGAGTAAAAGAATCGGAGGATTCTTTAGAACAGCTCTTGCTATGGCAATCCTTTGTTTCTGCCCCCTTGATAGCTGCACTCCTCTCTGGCCTGCCTGCATTCCATTTAAACCACAAATTAGCATTTTTTGCCTGATTCACACATGGCATGGTACAAACTTAACATGATCTGTCGAGTGAGTGGTCAAAGACTAGGCGGATGACCTCGTTTAAATACTGATTCGGAAGTTGGGAGACGAAAGTATGTGCATTCGCCATCGTTGCTGCAGCCCGGATCTGTTGATCACTTGCATCAATGTTTCCTACTTTGATATTATCTTCGATGGTGCCGGAAAAGAGCGACGGTTCTTGCGATTCCGCTCCGATATTCTTCCTAAGGAACTTCAAATCCAGATCCATGATGTTCTGATTGTCAATGAGAATCTCCCCTGAATTATATAGTACATACTGTTTTCATGTTAATATTAAAATCAGTTCAACTTGTAACACACGTAAACACCGGGAAGAAGCTAATAAACCTTTGTGGGGATCATAGAACCTCTGAACCAATGTGATAACGGTACTCTTTCAACAACCACTGCTTCCGACTAGAGCGACCATCTTTCCGGCTGGAATCGACAACGAAAATCCTTGAAGGTTCGACTTTTCGGGCCGAGAAGGGTAAGCAAACTGTACATCATATATATCGATGTTGCCGCTAATCTTCTC